TTCCGGGTGGTGGGGTGAGTGTCTGTCCAATGCCATTTATGGTCCTAAATCTTGTACAAATTGATACTCACTTGAGTGGGGTTTTCAATAGGCAATATGGGTGTGTTGTGTGGGAAGCGGCAGGGTCAAGGAAGTCTATTCCTGAAACCTCTGAACTGTTACTGGGCATATCCTCTAGGCCCGTGGTTCTCAACCTTTCTAAGGCCGCGACCCTTTAATACAGTTCCTCATGTGGTGGTGACCCCCAACCATAGAATTATTTTTGTTGCTACTTCCTAACTGTAATTTTGCTACTGTTAGGAATCATAATATCTGTGTTTTCTGATGGTCTTAGCAGCGGGTTGCCACTAGCAGGGTCACAGCATTAGACTCAGTTCCTCATGGTGTGGTGACCCCCAACCAAATATTGTCGGGGGTCACCACACCATGAGGAACTGTGTTAAAGAGTCGCAGCACTAGAAAGGTTGAGAACTGTAAGTTTTGAGGCGCAGGAAACTGACCACCGAGATATTTTAAAGTAAAGTTTATTCCCCAGTAATGAGCGGGACTCATTACGGAGGTAGAGAAATCAGAATTGAAGGAGTTGGGAGGGGATGGACCCAGCCGGGCTGCCACCTGGACATGGAGGATCAGCAGCACGTGGCTGGTCTGGGGGCCTTTTTAAGGAGAGGAACAGGAGAAGGTTGGACCCAGGGCAGAACAGGAAGGGGTGGGCTCCAGGACACTTTGGCAGGCACTGATTGGTGGCTCAATGTCTTGGAGATGTCTCTGTGACAGATGCCAGTAATGTTATAACTCCACCCACCAGTTGGGAGGAGGGAGAACCTTATAAGAACCACCATTCTAGGCTCTCGTCCTTCAAGGGCTGCTGCCTCTTCCTGGGAGCCCCTGTCCTTGGCTTGAGGTCAATTTCCACAGGCCTGTGTGCACGCCTTACACAAACAGTCTGTTTCATCTCCCACAACAGCCCCAAGCAGCAGGGATCGTTACAGACGAGGAATTGGGACACGGGGATGCTTATGGTCCTCGTGGTGGAGACTCAAAGCCAGGCCGAGGGCTTCTGGAGAGGGTGCCCGAAGCACTAAGGCAGATACCGTTTTCAGGTGGCAGGCAGGCGAAGACAGAAGCTGAGCCAGCCAGGTCCCTGGGGGAGGAGGGCGGTCATTAAAAGGCAGGGCCAGGCCTTGCCCGTAGGTGCTCTGTGGCTGCGTGTGGCCTAGGATACCTGTCTTGTCAAGGCTGAGAGGCTGACAAGCAGTCCCTCTAGATCCAAGGCCCCGGAAGCTTCAGGACCCCATGGACAGAGACACCCCTGCCACTCCAGGCCAGGGCCCCAGGGCCCTGCTAAGCTGCACCTGCGTCACTTGACCAGGAGTTTGAGGAGCCTGCATGGCCCCTCTGGTTAGACAGACCATCCACCTGCTCATCCTGAGACCCGAGAATCCCTTGAGACTGCTTCCTGGGGAGAAAACATTTTCATTTTCCAAGACACTCCCACTGCATTTCCCCCACCCGGGGAGGCAGAGTTGCGGCTACCGCCACTTCCAATTGCAGTGGCATCAGCTTCTTAGAGAACAGGAAGCAGAGAGAGGTTTGGGACGTGGGAAGGACATCCTGGGAGGAGCATGAGAATGAGCCTTCCCTCGGGTGAACTTCACTGCTGTCAGACGGAGTCACCCCAGACGGATAAAGTGTGTTCCGGTGACTGCTGCAGGATTGACTCCGGGTTGACTCACACCTTCCTGTATCCGGCCCTCCTGTGGCCCCTCCCCATTCCCATCCCACGTTGACTCGGCTGAGCCCTTTGGCAACGGGACAGCAGCAAACACCACACAAGCTAAACCGTGGAACTCGCTTGCATGTCTGGGGCTTGCTCTCTCACCCAGGGATACACTGCAACCCCCGCCGTGTGAACAAGCCCCCAGCTAGCTTTCTGGAAGATGAGCCATCCCACCTGCCCCCGGAGAGGCCTCAGACACAGCAGTGAAACTGTGCTGAGGGCTGCCTGGCTAGCACACAGGACTGAGAAATAAATGTGGTATTTTAAGCCACTAAGTTCCGGGACTGTTTGTTACACGGCAACAACTAACCCGAGACATAACGTGACTTGTTCAGACGCACACAGGCTGGTGAAGGCAGGGCGTCCGTCTCCTGGCCCACAGGACCGTGCATTCGGCTCAGGAAAGGCTATGAACCTGCAGTGCCACCCTGGCCACCCGCCCTGGGGACAGGCCATGTTCCCAGAGTGACATTTAAACTGTTTAGCGTGTAAGTGTCTAGTGCACATGTGTCAAACACAAGGCCCGCGGGCCAAATCTGTCCCACCAGGCCTTGCAATGTGGCTCACACCGCGCTGTCATCACTGCACTCCGCTGCGTTTCCATCACAATGACAGTTTATGACTGTTCAGTAAACCATTCGGCCCGTGATTTAGGCTGGATTTTAGATTTTGGCCCCTTCTCTGATTGAGTTTGACACCCCTAGTCTAGTGTGTTGAAATGGAGCAAGATCCCGGGGTGCCTGGCATTCCCCTGGAATGAATCCCTTAGCGCTGCGATCCCGGCAGGCCTAGGGTCCGTGCGGAAGCAGCTATGGGAAGAGCTCATGACTTAAGCCACCAATCCAGCTGCGGGAACCAGTGCATCGTCAGGCCTGCGGGCGACAACACTTCACCTCCTGCTTCCTCACTCTGAAGACCTCGGGGCTTTGTCCCCCGGCTTCCCCTAACACGGCCCACCCCACAGCCACAGCACCACACCGCTCGGCGGTCCCTGCGTGGACACCACACAAACACAAAGGACTGTTTTCAGATAATTTATTCAGAATTTTCATATAAACAGGTAATTACCCCACGTCTTACATGCAGAGCGATCTCACTCCCCCACCCCCACCCCCAAAGGCATAGTCTATACATGGCATTACTTGGCTCTTATAGAAAAACATTGAAAATAACAACAATTGAGCTATTTGGTGTGTTTTGTGTTTCCGAGTCTTTTTCCACGTAAGCCGAGGCACATTGACCCTGTGAGGCTGAGGGTGGACCGAGGCGCCTCCTGCTGGCAGACGGCCGAGCCAACCTCCCCAGACACACAAAGTGGGAACACGAGAGCCACTGCCACACCCTCCTCTGGGGGCTCCTCCTTCCTCCTCAGCGGAACGAAGAGCCTCAGAGCCACCGTCTGTTCTGACAGGACGGACAGGGCGCACGCCCGCACGGAAGTCTGGCTGGAGGCGGCGCTGGGCCGGCTCCGGAGTCAGGTGACCGAGGGAACCCGGCCATCGGCCATCGTCGTCCCTTGTGGGGCGCCTGGAAGGCAGCCCTTGCCTCCCGCTGCAGCCCCTGCAGCTTCTTTTACGTGTTTGACACGCACACACGCCAACCTCCTTTCCACTGCAACTGGCCTCCGGCGCAAGCGAGCGTTCCGCGAAACGTCCCGGGAGGTCTGCTGGAAGGACACCCTCCTGCATGCACCTTATATACAACCGGCTCTCCTCACGCCCCGCCGCCAGCACAACCGTCACCTCCGAGGAGCCTGGGGTGTCGAGGACTCGCTTAAAGAAGCATCCAAAAGGTTTGAACACCAAACGTCCACCAAAGCAAAATGATTGTCGCAGAGACCGCAGCCCGTCTGCGCCCAGGGCCGTGCCGCCGGCCAGTGCGACCGGCTGCGCACCCACAGCCTCCGCCGGCGGCCCAGGCCCTGCGTCTGTTTCCGAGTTTCCTCTCGGCAGCCACGGCCTCTCCGGGGAGCAGCAGCCTTCCTGCCTGGCTACCGGCTGGACAGCACGGAGCCCCCGGGACGGCTCCCCGGCGGGCTGCCCTCACCGGGCCAGCGAGGAGCAATAGGCGTTCTCTTTCCAAAGAAACGACGTGGATCTCACCACGTGACTGACACGTTTTCCGAACAGGGAGGCGTCTTTAAACACGGACACAAAGTGTCACCCCACGCTGGCCGTGGCTGCGTCGTCAGCCGTCCTACAGCCCTCAGGACAAGGTGACCGCCTCCCAGGACCGAGGAGAAGGCCTGCTGTCGGCGGGACCGGTGTGGGGAGGTTTGTGACCCCACAGCAGCGCACACAGCTCACCGCAGCAGAGACAGAAGCCGCCCGTCACAGCCAGGGCATCGCTGCCCGCCTCTCCGGGCAGCGGGACAGCGAATCGCAGGGGCGGAGCCCAAAGGTGTGACAGGGCAGTGAGGCTGGGTGACTGTGCCGGCAGCCCTCCGGCCCATCCGGACAGCCACGCGGTTCCCAAAGCCCCACACGGTCCAACAGCATCAGTTTGAAATCAAACTACAACCGGAGGCACAGGCTTTGCTGCTAAAAATGTGTCCCGTGTGCCGGTGGCTTTGGGGTTGAGATTTCTCCAATGCCTCCCAGGAGGCGGGGCATTGCACGTTCCCAAGGGAGGTGCCCACGAGTGTGACTGGGTCCACCCTCAAGTAGCATCTCAGCCCGAACGGGGTGGGGACAAGCCCTGGAGCACGTTGGTGCTCGCTTCCGGGAGATGCCCGCTGGGCAACAAAGCCTGCTCTCCCCGGGGAGAGGGGCACCCGCTCCCCCCGCAGGCGGGCAGCTCAGGCCTGGGCACCCCGCACACCAGATACGTAACCACCACCTCACACTTGGTTCCCGTTTGGGAAGCATGGTGTCCATGGAGGTTAAGAAAACAAAACAAAAAGGAAAACTAACATCAGAGAAGATGATTACCTGTTAGAAAAAAGGATCTGTGCTCACAAAAGGCCACACTTTGTCCCAAGCCCCTCCCTCAAATTTCTGACTGGTCCCTGCATTTGGAATCAGCCGATAACAGATTTTCCCTGATTCGGATTGGATCCCGGCAGAAATCTGAAGTCTCGAAAATGTCCATTCTTGAACCTCATCCTAACAATGCTGAGGTAGACTGTGCTAGAAAAGAATCATTGCCCCACATTCACCTGTTTATTTTTCTTTGATAAAAATTTATGTGCCCTCCATTTAAAAAAAAATTTTTTTTTTTAAGGAAAGTGATTTTTTTTTTTACAGTGATTTTATATATTAAAATAAATTATTTCCCCCTTAATGTAAGAAAACCTTTCTGGATTAGAAAAATGTGAAAATAGCTGCAAATATCGTCTACAGCCACTATTAATTTACTACGAAAAGAACTGAGTACCTAGGCCTACGTGTTTGTTTAAACGCACGTCCAGACCCCCTTCAACGCACAGAGTGAGTCTGGCGACAAGAATTCCCGTACTCCTGTTCCTTGTACCCGATCACGGAGGCTCCCAGAAACACTCTGCCTGCTCTAACTCCGCAAGTCGTACCCATGAGCGCGCAGCGGGCCGAGGGGGTGGAAGCTTGGCGTGGCCACTGCGCCTCTCTCCGGTGCGAGGAGGGAGCTGCCGGGCCTTGTGAGGAAATGCTCTCAGAGGCGACGGGGCGCTGAGCCCGGGGAAGCCCAGGGACGGGGTCACCGTGTTGGCTGGAGCAGCTGCGGCTCTTCTCCCCGAAGGGCGGGAGCTGTGGCTCTGGGGAGCGTGAGGGTTCTTAGCGGTTCCTCCCCGAGGCTCTGCTTTCTGCAACACCGAAGGCACCTCAGGGTTCTGCTCAGGCCCCACCCTGGCCCACCGAGGCCACAGCCCGGAGCAGCGCCTGGGCGAGGGGTCTGAGGACAGCTGGATGCCCCGAGGGGGGACGGACCGCCAGGGGCCTCTCGCTTCGTACTTAGTGTTCTCTAATCCCGCCGTGCGGCACACGCTGGGACCTGACCTGTCGTGTCTGCGGAAGCTGGAGGACGCGCACAGCCAGGGAGGGAGGACGGGAGGGGCACAGGGGAAGCAGGAGAGCCACGAGTGTGTTCGAAGGCAGGGCTCAGCACCAGGTGGCTTCCGGCTTCCCCGAGCAGAAGGGTAACCATTCAGCAAACCCATCTGCCCACCCCTCAGCCTGGCCTGACAACACCCCAAAGGGCTAGCAGCGAGTGTGGCTGTGCCTCGAAGACCCAGCAAGGAGGCGCCTGCGCTCCGCTCCCCGGCCCCAGGCAGACCACCCCCTACCCCCAACCAAGGAAACAGTCAATAACTTATGAGGCTGATTGGAGATTGATAAAAAATTAAATATTACAAATATATTCTCAAAACTCTTTATCATCTCGGGAGTTTTTTCTTTTCTTTTTTTTTTCCTTTTCCTTTGTTTTGTCATGTCCTGGCTTGGTTTGAAAAGATATGTTTTCACGCTAAACCACTCCGCTGCTCCTGGAGAAACATTTTCCCCGAAGCTCAGGGAGAGAAGCCTCCCGAGTGAGATGAGGGCACACGAGGGCACAGTCTCCCAGTGAGGAAGGAGGAAGGAGGGACCACGATGCCCCCACACACACGGAAAAGTGGGACCTTCATAAGCCAATCCCCGAACTTCATCTCAGCATGAGTGCTTCGCACGCGCACACGCGCACACACACGCCAGCCGTGTCTACTCTGAACACACATGCACACACACCTGGGACTGCAGAATCTTATCAAAAGTACAAAAGCAGCAGCTATTGGTCAATCCGAGGAACTACTTTTGTGAAGGGGGAAAAAAAAAGTTCAGCCTGGAAGAGAAAAACCTTCCTAAAATCCACTCCATAAAGCTTCAAGTTCTACTCGCAACGGGTTTGTATGTTTCTGTCTTTCTTTCAAACTTTTGTTCCACAAACAAGTTTTATGTTTTATACTGTAGCTCATACACCAGCCCCTGTCCACAAAAAAAGAAAAAAAAAAAGAAAAAAAAGCCTTTGTAGAAACAGGTGCTTTCTTTCGGTGACGAGGAAAAGGAGCACCCTGGCCTGAGCCTGCGCTGCTGGAAGGACCCCTTCTCTCTACGTTCACGGCTACCTTCTCCGATCACCGGGCAGGCTGGCGTCCGCACAGACGTGCTGTAGGCTGTACCATAAACAGGAATGGAGAGCAATGATCTCAGCGCCACTGGACACTGGCAGAGTTGTGGGAAAGTCCTGAGTTTTCTGGAGACCGTCAAGCTGGAGGAGAGTGAGTCGGGACCCCTCCCGGACAGGAGCCGTTAGGAGGGGCTGGACCGCGGCAGAGTCAGGACGCGCCCGTTTCTCTTGCCCCCGTTCATGTGGGCGTAGGACAGCGGCTCCTCGTAACTCCGCTTCCGGGCCGGCGGGCACCCCCCGTCCTCCTCCCGCTGGCAGTGCGCGGACCGGTCCAGGGGCACGCTCTCCATGTCCTCAAACTCCATCTCCAGCTCCTCGTGCTCGGGGGCCTTGTTCTCATCGCTGTAGAAGAAGGAGACTTCCGGAAAGCTGGGGTGCAGGTTGTCCTTCAGCTGGTCGACGACCTCCAGGAAGGTCGGCCTCATCTTGGGGTTGAAATGCCAGCACATGCTCATCAATTCGCTGCTGTGGGACAGAGAGACGTGCGGGGTGAGTCCAGGGGTCCAGCCAAGCAGCCCCGCAACCCCCCGAGGCTCACGCCCACAGACAACCTGCTCACTGCAGACAGTGGCTACATGTGCAGGTAACCATCAAGCGGAAGCAAGCAATTCTATTGGTGCAGAAACGGGGCTTTAAAAAGAGGGCCCCAGAGGCTGCCTTATTCCGGAACCATTTCAAGAAGGGCCTCTCCAGCATGGCCGGTGTGGCTCAGAGGTTAAGCCTCAACCTAAGAGCCAGTAGGTCAAGGTTTGATTCCCACTCAGGGCACATGCCTGGGTTTTGGGCTTGATCCCCAGTGTGTGTGTGGGGAGAGAGTGTGTAGGAGGCAGCCGATGAGTGATTCTCTCTCATCACTGATGTTTCTATTTCTCTCTCCTCCCTCTCCCTCTGAAATCAGTAAAAAATACATTTTTTTTTTTTTAAATAAAAGAAGGGCCTCTCCTGATGTTGCCACATGTGATGTACCCTCACACCTGGCGGCTGCCGCTCGGTGGAGCGAAGCTGGAGGGCCGTCCTGCAGGCCCAGCTGGCACACTTTCGAGGATGGCCAGAAAGCATCACAACTTTCTCAGCCAACAGCGAACAGGACAGGGACCGAGGGCTGAGGATTTCCACTTTTCCGCGCTTCTTCTAGGGCAGGGCTGGCAAACTTTGACCCCTGAACCAAACCTGGCTCCCTGAGTGTTTTTGGAAATAAACGTTTCTTAGCACACAACCACATAACTATGGCTGCCTTCCCGCTCCAGGGGCAGCACTGAGGAGCTATAACCGAGAGCAGCACGGACCACAGAGCGAAGACCCTTACAAATGGCCCCGTACAAAAAAGTGTGCAGCGCCTGCTGGGCCTCCAGAATCTCCCTGGTCCCGGGACCACAGCTGCCTGGCCAGCAGAGGCAATGTTTCAAACACTCTGCTCAGGGACTAAAGGACTCTGCACCATACTTTCCCCCATACGAGGTCTCTTCAAACCAGATCTTTTAAGTTGATGTCTTCTTCTATTGGGATGAGGCAAAGAAATGGCCTCTCCCCATAAATTTTCAGGTCAAAGTTTTTTCTTAAGAAACAACAACATATTTTATATGTAATAAATGCTCATTCTAGAAAGTTAAAAAACACCCCAAAATATAGGGAAAATGCAGCTCACACACAATTCTCCTTCAGATATAAGCTCTTGTCTTTCCTACCTGGACATATTTGGAAATGTAATATACACACACTTTTTTTCACTTAATGTATTAATAGGTTTATCCACTGAGTTATAAAACTTTTTTTTTTTTTTTTTATATCTTATTGATTTCAGAGAGAAAGGGAGAGGGAGAGAGAGATAGAAACATCAATGAGGAGAGAGAATCATGGATCGGCTGCCTCCTGCACGCCCCCCCTGGGGATTGAGCCCACAACCCAGGCATGTGCCCTGACTGGAAATCAAACCGTGACCTCCTGGTTCAGGTCGACCATCAACTAACTGAGCTACTCCAATCTGGCTTTAAAATATGTTGTAAGCAGAATTTGAAATTTCAACTGCTGTAACATAATATTAATGTACAATTTACTTGGCAATTTCCATTTTGTTGAATTTTTAGATCATTTCAGTTTTTTGAAACTTTAAATTGCTCCGAGTAGCTCTTACTGTGAGGCAGAAAGAATGGTTACCTAGCCATGCCATTGCTAATCCTGAGTACTAAGATCCACCCGGCTTTCCTTCCTCTCTCTCCATTCCTTCCTTCCTTTCTTTATTTGCTAATTAAGGAAGTATTTCCTCTATTTTATTTTATACTCATTGGCCTACTAGTGGGGCTGAATAATTTTCCAAGTGTTTAATGGTATGTGTTGAACATTTGGTCTCATAACAAATATTTAAAACAAAATATTTTTTAATGCTTATGCTTACTGACTTATTTTTTCAAGTATTATTGGGATATAGTTGAGTATAACATTGTATTACATACATGACAGAGTTTTAAGTGTGTAAAGAATAGAGAGTTAAACATAAGTCTCCCCCCAGCTCCCCAGTTCTCTTCCAAAGATATGATATGTAAACACAAGAATCATAAAAAGATAAAATATGCAGCTCACACATAACTCTCCTTCACAAGCATTCATATAGACATACAATATATCATCACAAGCAGGCATGTGAACACATGATACGCAAAACCCAACACACATTACATATATGATGTGCAAACACAAGCATGGATGTATACACATTATTACAAACACCAGCACTCATCCATGTAAACATGATATGCAAAAACAAGCACACATGTAGACCAGATATGCAAAATACAAGCACACAGGCAGACATGATATACAAACATAAGAATGCATGTAGAATAAGATATACAAACACAAACATTCATGTAGACATGGCATGCAAAACAACATGTGTGCAAAATGCAATGCCTTTTAAATGCACACCCCTTTCTATACTTACAGTTTCTCTGGACAGTTTTCAGGGATATCCAGATACCCTCCATCCATGACAAATTTCAACACCTGCTCATTGGAGAGGCCTTGGTAAGGCTGCTCCGCCAAGCTGGTGATTTCCCAGAGGACCACACCGAAGGACCTGCCGACAATAATCGAGAGGCATAACAAGAAGCCATTAAAACACACACAATCATCTTGGTTTACTAGGAACTGTCTGGCCAGTTAATTAAATAATTCAGATTCACTTCCTATCAAGATGCAGTAGGTAAACTCTGCTCATTTCTCCCATGACCATATGAAAATTACAACTGAATTGTAGAACAATCAACCTGGAGAACCATTTGTAGACTAGCTGAACAGAATTATAACTAAGGCTATAAAGAAGCCATGTTGCGACTGGAAGGAGGGGCAGAGATCCAGAACAGGCTGACCCCACACCCCGTGTGGGGGTTGAGAATCAGAGGGATATCTCAGCTACAGAGGTCTCCCCAAGAAGCCAGGAGTCCTAGGCCTACACTAGACTCCCAAGACCGGAGCATCAGTGCTGGGAAGAGAAGCCCACAAAACATCTGGAATTAGAAGACAAAGCAAGAAAAAAATCAATCAGAGCAGCAAAAATAATAATTAAAAGGCATGAAGATACTTTAAGGGAACTTTGGGACAACATGAAACATAACAATATCTCAGCATCACAGGGGAAGGACAGGGAGAAGAAAGTGACCAAGGGGGAGAGAGCCTGTTTGAAGTAATAACGACAAAGACCTTCTCTAAACCGGTGAAGGAAAAAGTCACACAAGTTCAGGGCACACAGAGTCATGGTCAAGACGAACTGAAAGAGAACCACACCAAGGCACATCATAATTAAAATGCAAACAAAGAGAGAATCTTACGGACAACAAGAGAGAGACAGGTTACCTACAAGGGAGTTCAAATAAGGTTGTCAATTGATTTCTCAAAACAAACACTATAGGCAGATGGGAACTGTGTAGGTATTCAAAGTTATGAAACGCAAAGATCTGAAACCAAGACTACTCTATGCAACATGGCTATCATTGTAAATTTAAAGTGAAATATAGTGCTTACCAGAACGGGGGTGGTGGCTGGGGGGAGAGAAGGCAAAAGGAGTTTATTACCACTAAACTAGCATTGCAAGAAATGGTAAAGTGAGTGCTGTAGAAGAAATAGAGAGGGGAACACAGGCATAAATAATAAAAATGGTGATAAGTACCTATCAACAACCACCTTACATATAGATGGATTAAATGCTCCCATCAACAGACATAGGGTAGCCGTATGTATAAGCAAACATGACCCATATGTTTGCTATAAGAGACCCACCTCAGAACAAAGACTCACACTGGATGAAAGTGTGAATTTTTCCCTTTGGTGGAAAAATTTTTCCATGAAAAAGGCAACAAAAAATAAGCTGGGATAGGCTTCAAAACATAGACCATGACAAGAGCCAGTGAAGGTCACTACATGATACTAAAGGGATCTGTCCAACAAGAGGATATAACCCTGGTAAACAAACAGGCTCACAATATAGGAGCACCTGAGTATATAAAAAACCCAAAAACCTCATGGAGGACTTTAAGGGAGAGATCAACAGCCATACAATCATAATACATGATGGTAACACCAAGTGGCATCACTGGATAGATCTTCCAGAGAAAAGAGCAACAAGAAAACAGCAACCTTAAACAATAAACTGAATCAGATAGATTTAATTGATATTTACAGAACATTTCAATCCAAAGCCGCAGAATATACTACATTCTTCTCAAATGTATATGGAACATTCTCAAAGACAGATGAAATGATAGAAAACAAAATGAGTCTTAACAAACTCAAGAAAACTGAAATCATATCAAGCATCTTCTCAAATCAAATGACATGAAACTAGAAATGAACTATACAATAAAAAACCTTAAAAACATTTAAACATGTGGAGGTTAAACAGCATGTTATTAAACAATGAATATGTTGCCAATGAGATCATGAAAGGAATAAAATATTTCCCGGAAACAAATAAAAACGAACACACAACAATCCTGAATCTATGGTACACAGAGGAAGCAATCCTGAGAAGGAAGTTCAGGGCATTACAGGCCAACCTCAAGAAACAAAAAAAAGCTCAAATAAACAATCTAACTGTACAGCTAAAAGAACTAGAAAGAGAACAACAAGAAAATTTCAGAGTAAGTAGAAGGAAAAAAATAAAGATCAGAGCAAGAATAAACAAAAAAACCCACAAAAACCCAAAAGATCAATGAAGCCAAGAGCTGATTCTTTGAAAAGATAAAAAATTGATGAATGTTTAGCCAGATTCATCAAGAAAAAAAGACAGGGCCCAAATAAATAAAATCATAAATGGAAGAGGTGAAGCAACAACTGACATCACAAAATACGATGGATTAAGAAAAATATATGCCAACAAATTGGATAAGCTGAGTGAAATGAACAAAATCCTAATGGACTGATTAAAAATAATGAAATCGAAGCAGCAATAAAAAGAAAACTTCTAGCAAACAAAAGTCCTCATCCACACTTCACAGGCAAATTTTACCACACATTCAAAGAAGAACTAACATCTCCCATCCTCAAACTATTAAAAAAATTTAGGAGAAGGGAAGACTCCCAAGCTCTTTTTACAAGGCCAGCATTACCCTAATTCAACAACCAGTTAAAGATACTACAAAGAAAGAAAATAATAAGCCAATATCCCTGATGAACATAGATTCTGAAATCCTCAACAAAATAGTAGCAAATAGAATCCAGCAAGACATTAAAAAGATCATACACCGAATGGGATTTATTCCAGGGATGTAAGGTGGTTGCAATATTTGTAAATCAATAAATGTGATACATCACATAAACAAAATCAAGGACAAAAATTACATCATATCAATAGACACAGTAAAAGCACCCATTTATAATCTCTCATAAACCTCTCAGCCAAGTGGAAATAGAGGAATCATATATCAACATAATAAAGGCCATATACAAAACATCTACAGACAACATCATACCTCATGGGCAAAAATTCAAAGAGTTTCCCTTAAGATAAGGAACAAGACAGCAATGTCTACTCCCATCACTCTTTTTCATCATGGTAATAAAAGTCCTAGCCATAGCAATAGGAAAAGAAGAAAAAATAAAAGATATTGATTTGGAAAGAAGAAAATAAAACTGTCATTATTTGCATCTGACATGATATTGTACACAGAAAACCCTAAAGACCCCACCAAAAAAACCTACTGAATTTAATAAATTAATTCAGTAAAGTAGCAGGATACAAAATTAATATCCAGAAATTGATTATATTTTTATACACAAAAAATAAACTCTTAGAAAGAAAAAGAAAAATCCCATTTACCACTACAACAACCAAGGTACCTAGAAATAAATTTAACTAAGGAGGTAAAAGACCAATACTCGAAAACTATAGCATATTGAAAAAAAGAGGGGAAGTTACAAAATGCCCACTAACAGACAATTGGATAAAGAGGATGTGGTACGCATTTACAATGGAATATTATTCCGCCATTAAAAAGAACAAAACCTTACCCTTTGCAACAACACGGATGGACTTAGTGGGTATTATGCCACGTGAAATAAAGCAGACAGAGAAAGACAAATACAGTGTGATCTTACTTACATGTGAAATCTAAAAAAACAAAATAAGCTAACTAACAAAACAAAAACAAACTCTAGATACAGAGAATCAACTGAGAGTTCACCTGGGAGGGGACGGGGGATTGGGATGGAAAGGTAAAGGAATTCAGAGGGACAGATGGGCAGTTACAAAACAGTCCCAGTACCGCACAGGGCCTGTAGTTCACGATGCTGTGTAAGTATGTACGATGCACTAGACATATTGGGGGGACTGCTTCATGAATATTACAGACGTCTAACCACTAGGCTGCACACCTGTAACTAACACAATACTGAATGTGAACTGAAATGGAAAAACAAACAAGTAAATGAAAATGAAGAAAGGATTTGTGTTGCGTCCAGAAATGCCTATAAAACAGGTCTCACTGGGACGTGGCAGGCGCTGTGCCGGGTCCTCAGACTGGACTCCCCTTCATGCCGCTGACGGCCGGGAGGAGGGCAGGGGAGGAGGGCAGGTGTACGGCCAGCCGCCCGCCACACTCACCACATGTCGGAGAAGGCGGTGAAGACGCCGTCCTTCAAGGACTCCGGGGCCATCCACCGCACGGGGAGCAGCCCTTTGCCGCCTTTCCGGTAGTAGTCCGTCTCGTAGATGTCTCTGGTCATCCCAAAGTCTGACAACACACAGTTCATAACCGCTTACCCTTCGCCCTGTGCGCGGGTGCCCACCCTCTCCGCAGCCCGCCCCTGGCGGAGCCCTCGACGGGCTCACCGTGGCCATCAGCTCCCCGGAGGACGGACTGAGTGCCCCTGGAGGAAGGGGGGCCACCACGTAAAGCAGCAAAAAAGCCATGTTCTGGCCGGAGCTTGGGAATCCCATCCTCAGAAACACTTCCCGCTTACCCTTATCTCACACGCAACCCAAATCCAACTACGAACCCTGCGGCCAGCCTTCTGCCCCCACTGGCTACGGCCCCACCGAACAGCCAGCTGCCCGGCCGGAAACCCGGGGTGGGGTCCTCTTCTGACCACCCCGTCTCCTCCCCATGTGACTCAGCGGGGAGTCCTACCCACTCGCATGCCACACCCTCTCTAGCGATCTATTTCTCTCCGTTGTCCTGACACCCTCTCTCACCTAGGACCCTCTCCACCCTGCCTGCCAGCCGCCGCCCAGGAGAAGCTACAGAAACAGAATGGCATGACGTTGCCATTCCCTGCTTCCCTGGCTGAGGCAGGAGAAGACCTTCGGGGATTGGTAAGCGGATAAAAGCATTTCTTGCTTCCCACTGACTGCTAACGGAGGGGAAGGTCTCTCCTTTTGTTCATAAAGAGAATCACATCACTTCCTGCCTTGTGCTGACGGCCTAGGACCGTGGTTGGCAAACTGCGGCTCCCGAGCCACATGCGGCTCTTTGGCCCCTGAGCGTGGCTCTTCCACAAAATACCACGGCCTGGGCGAGTCTATTTTGAAGAAGTTTAAGTTTAAAAAATTTGGCTCGCAAAAGAAATTTCAATCGTTGTACTGTTGATAGTTGGCTCTGTTGACTAATGAGTTTGCCGACCACTGGCCGAGGATAATGTCTAGGTGACTTGCCTTGACTTGCAAGACCCTCCGGGCCTGGCTCCTGCCTCTCTCCCTACCCGCTATGTCCTGCTGCTCTGGCCCCTCCGCGCCCAGCCATCCCCTGGCCCGTGGCCTCTGCAGGTGCTGTAACCGCCCCGGATGCTGTCACTCAGTCAACGTCTAATCCTCTGCTATCGGAATGGCCTCTCCTCAGGAGGAAGCCCGTTCCTTCAGCTCCTCTCCCACCCGCTTCTGCGTGTCTCACTGTGGCTCGGCCCAGAGCGCCCGGGATGAACACGGCCTGTAGCTCACTGTCCGGCCCGGCGGCCAGCAGCGGCTGTACTGTTACTCGGTGCGAGCCGGCTCAGAGGAGGACGGCCCACGCGCAGGGCCACGCGCTGGGCGGGGCGGGAAGACCGCAGGCTCACGGGGGCGGAAAGCCAGGGCACACTCATGTTACTTAAAAAGTGGATGAGTAAGTCAGTCAACAAATCAATTAAGTCACAGGGTGGGACTCTGTAAAGTTTATGATTGTCAAAACGAACATGAATGTAAAATGAATTGAAACATAAAAATTTTTAAAATTTAAAGAAAAAGAACTCTTGAAAAAAACACCAAACTTACAGTGTGGGGATCAGGGGCCCCTGCCAAACCTGGGCCCTTTCCACTGGGAAAGCTCTAACTAGGGGTGTCGAACTCAATCAGAGAAGGGGCCAAAATCTAAAATCCAGCCTAAATCGCGGGCCGAATGGTTTACTGAACAGTCATAAACTGTCATTGTGATGGAAACGCAGCGGAGTGCGTTGATGACAGCGCGGTTCGGGCCACATTGCAAGGCCTGGCGGGACGGATTTGGCCCGAGGGCCTTGTGTTTGACACATGTGCTCTAACCCATGACAGACAGCACCTTCTGGACCTGAACGTGGCCGGGCCGTGCGTTCCCGAGCAGAAAGCAGACTAACCTCCGATTTTGACGGTGAAGTCGTGGGCGACCATGCAGTTCCGAGCTGCGAGGTCCCGGTGCACAAACTTCTTGGCGTTCAGGTAGGCCATGCCGTCGGCGATCTCCGCTGCCATCTGGAACATCTCTTGCAGGGTCGGGGGAGGGCGGCCGGGGTTGTTCTAAAGCCAAAACAGGAGCTGTGGTCAGCGGCAGGGCCGGGCCGGGCGGAGGGCGGCCGGCGGGGCTCCGGGCAGCTCACCTCGGCATCAGGCCGCAGGGACCGCAGGTGGCTCTTGAGGTCTCCGTGCGTCATCAGCTCCATCACCACCAGCGTGGGCTGGCCTTTGGACACCACCCCGAGGAGGCGGACCTGCAGGGCAAGCACGGGGGTCAGGGAGGCCTCGGGTGAGGGTCTACGGGAAGAGTTCAACCCACGGAGGCCTCGCGTCTGGTCACACGCAGCACCTGCTCCTGGGAAAACCTAGCCTGTCCGGGTCCAACGCCAGGGCCGGCGCCCTGGGAGGAGAACAGGAAGGAGAAGTCAGACTCCCAGTCTGGTGGGGGGAGCAGACAGCATCCGTGGGCAGTTCCTGGTGCATCTGGCCCACAAGGCGCATTCCCACCGTCAGACCTCTGCCTAGCTGTCCCTGTGCCTGATGCTGTGCCCCCACATGTCCACGAAGTCCCCGTCCCTACGTCCTTTCTGCCTTTGCTCAAATACACCTTCCCCACTCCCAAATCCCCCCAACCCCGACCTGCTCTCGTTTGTGCCTCAGCGGCACCTCCTGACCGCGGGCCCGTGGGGCTGGCACCTCCTGACCGCGGGCCGTGGGGCTGGCACCTCCTGACAGCGGCCCCGTGGGGCTGGCACCTCCTGACAGCGGGCCGTGGGGCTGGCACCTCCTGACCGCGGCCCGTGGGGCTGGCACCTCCTGACCGCGGGCCCATGAGGCTGGCACCTCCTGACAGCGGGCCCGTGGGGCTGGCACCTCCTGACCGCGGCCCGTGGGGCTGGCACCTCCTGACAGCGGGCCCATGAGGCTGGCACCTCCTGACAGCGGCCCGTGGGGCTGGCACCTCCTGACAGCGGCCCGTGGGGCTGGCACCTCCTGACAGCAGCCCCGTGGGGCTGGAGCACCACAAGGCAGAAGTGGACTCAGCGCAGACGTGGGAGCAGGGCTTGGCACAGGGCAGGAGCCCTGCAGGGATGCGTGGGGCAAAGACGAAGGGACAGCAGGTTCAGGGAGAAACGAGGCGATGTGAAGCAGCAGGCAGGCAGGCAGCATGCATGCCGACTCCTGGGCAGGTGCACCCTGCGTGTTTGAGGGTTAAAGAGGTGCTGAGAAGACCATGAGGTGGAAGATTCCAGAAAGCACTCGGGCAACAAGAGTCTGGGTCCAGGTGAGGTGGGACTGGAGGGGGACTGGGGCGGGACAGGGGTCCACACGCACTGTCCTCACGCTCTGCTCTGTGCACAGGAGAGAGAGCAGCAGCGCGGGCGGGGAAGGGAACCAGCACGAAAGCGAAGATGGAGAAAAGTGGGAGGAAGGAGCGCCCGGGAGAGGCGCTAGGAGGGCTGCGAGGCTCCGCGGGAAGAGGTTTCTGCCATCACAGGCCTGTTCCTGGAGCGGCTGCTGACCCAGCGCGAGGCCGCGCGGGGCCATCCGGAACACGGCTGCTCCGCCCTCCCCGGCTCTGCACCGACAGCGACAGCCTGTGCCCGGGCAGGCTCACCGTTCTGCCTTCCCTCAGCCCCTCTTCCTCCTCCGGAGCCAGTGCCGCCCCTGCCTCCGGGCTCCGGGGTTACAACTCTGCTCAGACACATGGCCTCTGTCTAAGGTGACCAGACGTCCCGATTAAAAAAAAGAGAGGAAGAGAGAGGGATAAAGAGCTAGAAACATCGATGAGAGAGAATCATTGACCAGCTGCCTCCTGCACACTCCCCACTGGGGATGTGCCAGCAAGCAAGGCACATGCCCTTGACGGGAATCGAACCTAGGACCTTTCAGTCCGCAGGCCGACGCTCTATCCACTGAGCCACACAGGTTTCAGCCAGACGTCCTGATTTTGTTAAAAAGCGGGCCGTCTGGTCCCCTTCCCTCTGTCCCCTGTGACGGGCCCCTGTCCGCTCGGCGCGCACTCACCACGTGGTGGCAGGCGAAGCCCTTCATGACGGAGGCCTCGTTGAGGAACTCGATGCGCTCCCGCACGGTGGCCGCCTCGTTGACCGTCTTCACCGCCACCAGCGTCTCCGCCTCGCCCTTGATGATGTCCTTGGCCTTGCCCTCGTACACCATGCCGAAGGAGCCCTGGCCCAGCTCCCGCAGGAGCGTGATCTTCTCCCGCGGCACCTCCCACTCGTCCGGCACATACACGGAACAGGGGAACACTGCTCCTCACTTATCCACACGGCGTCCTGGGGGGCCCGACCTCCGCCCCCGGCCCCGCCCCCCGCCCAGGCCCCGCCCCCCGCCCCCCGCCCCCCCGCGGCCCCGCCCACCCGGTCCCCCCCCACCCCCCGCCCCCGCCTCCACTCCCCGCCCTCGCCCACCCGGCCCCTTCCACACCCCCCCGCCCTGCCCCCGCCCCCGCGGCCCCGCCCACCCGGCCCTCCCACCCCGCCCCCACTCCCCGCCCTCGCCCCACCCGGCCCCTTCCACACACCCCCCCCCCCGCCCTGCCCCCGCCCCCACCCACCCGGCCCTCCCACCCCCGCCCCACTCCCCGCCCCCGCCCCCCGGCCCCGCCCACCCGCAAATGTTCCTCGAGGGACCTCTGTGACCCAGGGCCCACGCCGGGCCAGGCACACAGCCAAGAGCGGCCACGGCCACGCATGGGTCCCCGCCCTCGTGGGGGGCGTGGCCGAGACGCAGACGGAAGCCAGCCCAGCCCAGGCTCCGTCCCCTCTGCCTGGTGCAGAGGCCCCGCCCAGGGATGCTCCTTCCACGAGGCTGCTGTTTAGAGCCCGGGGCGGGCCCAGAACTGCCCGCCGAGCACAGCGCCGAGCAGACCCGCCAAACGGGGAACTGACGAATGGTGGGGAAAGCCACTGTTTGGGGGGGGGGGGCGTCACACAGCAAATGAACGCAGACGAAGCACGAAGGCCTGTCTTCTCCTGTGCCGTCACTGTGACGGGCTGACGGCGTCCCTCCCCAAATTCCTATGAACCCCTCACGCTGGGACTCAGAGCGTGCCTGTATGTGGAAATGAGGTGTTTAAAGAGAAAACCAAGGTAACTCGAGGTCACCAGGGTGGGCCACATGACTGGTGTCCTTGTAAGAAGGGGAGACGAGGCGCAGACACTAATGTGTGGACACCCACACCTGCCTCCAGCCTCCCCCCTCCCCCCTTGTCCCTGCTTCTGTCCGCCTCACCCCATCCACAATCTCCCATTCTGGCTCCCAGTTCCCACCTCCCAGCTTGGGCACCAGGTCAGACACAGCGTGCTGGTTCTGACGCTGAGCAGCTCTGGCTCAGTCCCCAAGCTCCACCCGCACAGCTGGGCGCCGGGTTCTCGGCCTCCCGGCCCAGCCCAGGGTCCCCGAGGGCTCCCATGCTGTGTCTCCACTCCAGGGAACAAGGCCTCTCTCAGCCTCTTGGGGTGCCAGCCCTTGACTTCCCCGACAGTGATGGAAAGGAAATGGGCAGCGGGACTGGCCACCCACAGGGAACAGGGTGGTACTCACCATCGCTGGCACTGAGGTACTCAGGGTTTGAAGAAGCGTAGAGTGGTCCCACCGGCCCGTCTGCCTGCCTGGAGGAGGAAGAGGGAGGTGTTCCAGTGTGAGGTTCTCACGGGACTTCACAGCTCATGCAGGCTGCAGGCCTCCCCAGTGTAAGCAGCACCTACCCACTCGTGCTGCTCTGCAGCCATCTCATCCCAGCTCACAAAAAACAAATATTAATAAGTGCTGGCGGGTTGCTGAGTGGTCAGAGAATCGACCGGCACACTGAAGGGTCATGGGTTCGATTCCTAATCAAGGGCATGTACCTGGCTGCAGGTTCGATGCCCAGTACTAGTTGGGGCTCATGCAGGAGGCAACCAATCGATGTGTCTCTCTCACATCCACGTGTCTCTTACATCGATGTTTCTCTCTCTCCCCTTCTCCCTGCCTCCTTTGCACTCTCTTTGAAAAACCAATGGGAAAAATATCCTTGAGTGAGGATTAACTAATTAAGTAAACAAATAAAACAGGCTTACAATTAAATAAATTATATTAAAAGCAAAGGTTATATTCAAAATTGACCACATCCTCATTATCATACTAAATCTTATTATGATCAGTGATCTTTTTTAAAAATATATTTTTATTGATTTCAGCGAGGAAGGGAGAGGAAGAGAGAGATAGAAGCATCAAGGATGAGAGAGAATCCCTGATTGGCCACCTCTTGTACAGGCTCTAACAGACATGTGCCCTTGACTGGAATCGAACCTGGGACCCTTCAGTCTGCAGCTCAATGCTCTACCCACTGAGGCACCTGGGCTAGGGCTGATCAGTGCTCTTAAGGCCATTTATGTACATTATTCTATGTGAATGGCAGAGATACTATACAATTGTGAGCAACAGCACATCCCTTCCCAATTCTGCCCTCAGTGATGTCATGTCTGTAGCTTGAGATTGGGAAAGTGACAGAAAAATGTTAATAATGCAGATTAAACCTAAACCTGTCACCTGCAGCCATGATGCTGTAAATGGCACACAATGATGAGAAAATATTATTTAAAAATTATTATCTGATTCTGCAAAGTCACTCCTGTGATTGATAAACATTTATGTTTTATTTCAATTTTATCCTACTCTTTACATAAACAAAATATTAATTAACATTCATGAACACTTGTTTATCAATTGCAACCATGGCTATAGATAAAAGGTTAGGAAAAAAATGATCAATGAAAACATTTGGTGAGGGAATTTACGATAACCCCGCATTGTATACTGTATTACGACATCACCTGTAAATTGCATGCTACACATCCTTGAGCTCGTAAAATTTGCAACATGCTCAGATACAGCTGTATCTGTCTTAATTTTCCTGGGAAGCCGGCTGCTAGTTTCCCCCACGCACTCACCTCTTCCGCAGGAACAGGTAAATACTTCCAATCACAACACTGAAGAGGAAGACAAAGATGAGGGGGCCGATGATAATTTTTGCAATACTGGGTGGGACATCCACTAAAACAGAATAAGAAAACACATGTTTCGTATCAAAATGTGTTCACATCACAAACCACAATCACACACATTAACAGTGGGCCACACACACACGTGCCCCAGTCTTCTTCTTGTCCCTGAGCCTCTCTCTGCTGGTTTTCCAGTGTTTCCCAGTCCCGAAACCGCACTTGGCTCCTTGGGGCTGGGCAGCGGGCTCAGAGGGCCGCAATCTGGAAGCACACCCTGACCCCCGCCCCCCGACCCCCCGTCCGCCGGCTCATCCTCGCCGTGCAGCCCAGGCACCACCCAGGCCCACACTCAGAAGGGCCACGCTCTGGGTTTGATATTCCATGGTCACCATCTTGAAAGTCTGAATTTGTAAACAAGGGCCCTGCATTTTCGTTTTGCACGGAGCCTGTCCTGATTCCAAACAGCAGCTCTGGCCGATGGCAAACCCACCAGGACGTGCTGTGTGTGTGCCCGAGGGTCCTGCCCCTTCTCCCTCAGCGGCGGCCCGCGGGCCTCGGTGGGTGACCTTGTTGCCAGGAGGAGTACCAGGCAGCACGAAGTGCATTTCCCCAAAGAACCTCGTTAAAGCCAGCTGAAGAAATGCTATGTGGCCTTTATTTTTCAAATTGGCATGTAAGGCCGTGTCAGAACTTGTAAACAGGCCCATTTATTCTGTCTCTTCCAAGCCCCGGAAAAAATGGGTCGGGAGAAGTCAGAGGAGGAACCTGGCCATGTGGGTCCTCTACTAATAGCAGCTCACCAAACACCTCCCAGAGGCCAGGCACCGCTGGCAGTCTGTGTGGTGACCTCATCTAACCGTCCCGCGCGAGGAGGCGGAGACACCTGACCAATGCCAGCTCACAGGCTGGGAACAGGCTCAGGGCGGAGAGGGCTCTCGCCCGAAGCCCCGGACCTGGTCCTCGGACAGCATGCGTCTGACCCAGGCCCTCGGAGTAAGCTCCGACCGCGTCCCCCCTGCCTCCGGTGGCCGGCTCCATCCTGAGCGCGCGCCCTCCGCACTCCGTTGCCGACAGCCTGCTTTGCCCAAACCTGTATATTCTTCCAGGTCTCGGCCAAGATGTCACCACCTCCAGGAAGCACCCCCTGACCAGCTCACCCCACTGTCCACAGGGCATCCAGCTGGCTCAGTGCAGCACTTGCTGCATGGACGTCGAGCGCACACCCTCCGCTCAGGAGGACATGGCCCATCTCGCAACGAAGACAGGAACACTAGCTCACAGGAGCTGGTGTGCTTATCAGACTTGCCCTGTGCCAGCCATCTGACCTGCTGCCACCGAGACTTCCCTTCAGCTGCAGGGGCGGTCCTGTGATCATCCCCATGGACAGATGAGGAAGGCCAAGCTCAGAGGGCAAGCACCTCGCCCCGGGCCAGGGCCAGCAGGCACAGCCTCCCCCTCCCCCACGATCCCCAGAAGCGTCTGCTGTCCCCCATAGTCTAAGCGGCCGTGCAGACTCACAGTAGTTTGTCACATAGAAATAGGTGGGTTCTGTCCAGGAACCATTGCCCGCCAGGGAGGTGGCCCGGACTCTCACGCTGTAGTTCCCGGGGTACAGCCCGCGCAGCCGGCAGCCCCGCTCCAGGGCGTAGAGCCTGCGGGACACGCACAGGTGCAGCTCCTGGAAGACAGGAGGAGACAGGGGGTGGGGCTGAGCTTCGTACGGGCGCCTCGTCGTGGACAGGATCTGCTCAGAAAGGACACGGGAGTTAAGGCGCGACCAGTGCCACAGGCAGGAAACGGAGACGTCTGGGACTTTAGAACCTCAGCTCTGCCGACCAGGAGACAGGAACACAGGTTATCGTGGTTGGTAACAGCCGCTCTTCCTAAAGCACAGCTAAAGCTCTGACACGGGTCATTCCATTTAATTCTTACAACCACCCCACGGCTTAGCTCTCCTTAGAGACGAGGAAAGCCAGGCTCAGGGGAAGTCGGAACTTTTGCTGTAAAGGGCCAGAGAGTAAATCTTCTCAGCTTCAGCGGGCGGGATGGTCACTGACACCAACTCAGACCCGCCATCGCCAGAGCAGCCAGAGACAACCCCAACCTGCAGCATCTGCGACCAGACACAGGGAGGCGCCGTGCAGGACTCTTCCTCTTCCTGCTAGTTACAGCCTTTAAAGTTTAAGACGTGGAAGCAGTCTCAGCCACACATTGTACAAAACCAGGCGTGTGCAAATAGTTCGCCCACCCCGACTGCGGATGTGAAAAGGCTAGTCAGAGAGCTCACAGCTGGTGAGTGGCAGCCTAGCCCTTCAACCCCAAACGTCTCGGCTCCAAAACTTCTTTTTCCCACTGTCGAATGTTTTCCTTTTGAAAAAATGCAGAATATAAAACCTTTATTGCTTAACTGAAATGTTAATTCTCAGTTACAACTATTCATAGAACTGCTCCATGTAGGAATCACAGTAGTCAACATTCAGTACAACTTTATTATTATGCTAGAGGCCCAGAGCACGAAATTCCTGCACTGGAGGGGTGGTCCTCCTGAGCCCAGCCGGGGCCCTCTCCAAATCCTGCACCCCTCGTTCCTCACCACCGCCTGCTCGCTGCTCCTTCCTGCTCGGATTGCTGCTCCTTCCTGCTCTTTAGCATTGCCACAGAGGCGGGGGAGGCTCCTGCGCTCACCAGCCGCTCGCCCAGCTTCTGGCTGAGCGGGGCTCCTGCGTGGAGCATCTGACCCCTGGTGGTCAGTATGTGTCATAGCGACTGGTCATTCCACCGGTCATTCCTCCACTCAGTCGATATGCATATTAGGCTTTTATTACATAGGACATTTCTTAAGATAAGATCATTCATGGCACACTGCCCCTTAATCCCTAAATATGCAGTTGAAGTGTTTTCAGAAGTGACTATGAAACTGGTAAGAAAGCTAAAATAATGTCTGAAGTCCAAAAGCTATGAGAGCACCTTAATTTCTCATCTTCTATCTACACCCTCACAAGTCATTTGGAAAACCAGCCTCGATGTAAACATAACAAGCCACCTTTCCTGCCTGTTCTTGAAGGTGATCTTTCTTAAGAAATGATCGAACAGCACCTGTCTTTGAAGATGGCAGGAAGGCCTGACCCTGAGACTCCAGCTCTGGCTCTGGATCAGTTTTCTGGTTGGTCCGGTCAGGAGTCCCTTCCGTCAGGGAGCTTGAGTGTGTGTGTGCTAACAGTGCCTCCCTTTTAGCATTCCATTTGTCACTGGAAAGGCAAGAGTGAGCTTTCAGTGCCGCCAGGCAGCACAGGCAGAAGGCAGATGGAAACCAGTGGGAACCCCCAGGACAGGCGTCTTCAAACTACGGCCCGCGGGCCACATGCGGCCCGCAGAGGAGTCTGATCCGGCCCGCCAGGTTTTTTGGGCAGTGAGCGCAGCCGAGGTGTTACAATAGGAATTAGTAGTTCATATAGTCCGGCCCTCCAGCTCTCTGAGGGACCGTGATCTGGCCCCCACTTTAAAAAGTTTGAGGACCCCTGCCCCAGGAACTACAAACAAAAGGCTGTAATGCCGCCTGTGAGCAAACCTTCAGTGCCGACAAGGACAGGAGCTTCCAAAACAACGTTGTTTGTAACCGGAGAAGACTACGCCCCGAGGGCCCGGAGGGTCCAGGCGAGGGGCACCGAGCACAGCGTGGCACTGAGCACACTGGACGGTGTCCCCAGCCCCACAGAGCCAGCGGCGAGGACCCCTCCCCACCTGCGTGTCCACTCCGGGAAGTGGCAGAGAGGATCCGTCCATGTCGGGGTGCCAGCCCGGTGGGAGGGTCTCCCCAGGCCTCCGGACGCCCTGCAGGGCAGGAAGGAGGAGCCCTGTCCCAAACCACATTTCAGCCTCCCTGGCCTCCTGGCCTCGGCCTCACCGGAACCTCCCCTCCTGACCTCGTTACCTTCCTTCCACTTCATTAAAAAAGATGGGGATCTACCTAAATGTCTGAGAAGAGAGAGGAGATAAGTGTGTGCACCCCAGTGATAAACAATCAACTAGAGATAAACCCAGAGCTTATTGGGAAAGGCGGGAGGCTCCCAGGGCCAAGTTTTGGAAACTTTCCCAACAACTCCGAGCTCACAGTGAGGGAGGGGAGAGCCCCAGGGGGCTCTGTGAAGACGGCTCGGGAGCTCTGGCTGGAAAAGCCATGAGCGAGAGGACGGAGAGCTACCACGTGACAGCAGCCACCAGAAAACAGGCCAGCCGCGGGCGAGGCTGGCGCTCTGTCCAAAGGTTCCTACAAGGATGAGTCACCACGTAGAAAGGACAAACCAGTCAACACCGAAGCCAAAGGCAGCAGCTATCCAGGACAAGGGGCCATGCAGCCTCCTACCTCAGCCATTTGCCCCAGATGCCTCAGGCTGGGGCCTGAGAAGGGAGCAGGATGGGAGGAACTAGAACTTGATAGTCTCCCCACAGACACCAAAATAAATAAACATAAAAAATAAAAAGAAGCCGGTGAGAGTATTGTAAAGCTGGCAAAGCCATAGTGGTGCAGAACATTTTTAACTTCTATCAAAGTAATGCTAGACAAAGACTAAGGTAGAGGTTGAAGGTCACTGACCTGTCTTGGCTATGAACAGTCTTTTTAAGACATTCCAGTAATGCCTCTCTCTCCTCTAATGCTCCCCCCCCCCTCCCCCCCCCCCCCCCCCCCCCCGCACGGTGAATAGGGCTGGTCTGTGAGGGCAGGGCCAGGGCAAAGGCTGATGGGAATTCATGGATCCCACTGCTGAGCCGCGGGCTTTGGGAACAGCAGAGGCAGGCCGGCCACGGCAGCTGGAGGGCACAGGAGTGGGTCCGATGCCAACAGAACAACCAGGGACCGGGGGTTCCTAGGATGTAGGACTTCGTCTCAAGCCTGAGAAGTCCCAGGCAGGTTGGGTAGAGTTGATCACAGCAGCAGGAATAAAATAGGAATGGTCTGCAGTGTAAACACTGGCCGCTCACTGCACAGAATCCATATTCTCCGCCTGCTCCCAAGAGCACCCCCAACTTCCTCTGGCAGATGTACCCCCACTTGAGTGTCTCCTGCCTCCCATCCTCAACTCCACCCTGGTTCCAGGGTTAACCCTGGCAGCCCGAAGCTGAAGAGTCCCATTGGTTAGGGAGGGGCACAAAACTCGGACCCAAATGAGCCATCGTGGAAATGCAAATCAAGATCACAGTGAGGGGGAGGATCCTCCCACAGTGAGGGGGAGGATCCAAGATGGCTGCACAGGCAAACACCTAACCGCAGCAGCACATAACAATTTCAATAAAATACAACTAAAATACAAAATGGACATTACCCAGAACTACAGGAAGGTCGATTGACTGGAAATTCTACAACTAGAAGGAAATAGAAAACCAGAAGGAAAATCAGAGGAGCTGTAAAAGCCTAAGGTATGGAAACATGCTGTGCGCGCGGAGAGGACGGAGCCGGAGAGGAGGGGCGGCTGAGTGCCTGGCTGGCGTTCCCTAGCGGGAAGGAGATAAAAGCTCTGGACTGTGCTGAACCCCAGACCCAACAGCGCTGAACCCCAGTTCTAGGCCAGACCCTGGGGACCCAGGCTCATATAGAGGGAGATGGGCTGTGAGGCAGAAACCTGGGGGAGCGGCGAAAGGAGGTCCCGGAGGCGCGCACATTTCACGCAGAAAACGGACGGTTGGCTGTGCCGCGGGATTGCCCTAGTGGGAGGGAGACAAAAGCTCCAGACTGCTCTGAATACCACTTCCAACTGAACTGAACCCGTTCCGGGCTCATTGGGGGAGAGCCTAGACTGTTTGGTAGCAGGCAAAACTTGAGGGCACCTTTCTCTCAGAGGTGCTTGCAGTGAGTACGAAGGACCCTGAGGAACACTGAGACTCAGGAGCCGCATAGGGCAGGGCTGACAGAAGCCAAGACTGTAGGCTCCACCCTGAAACCCCGCCCCATCCAAGCTGAACACAGAGACTTTTAAGGCTACAAACTCAGGAAAGCTGCGAAAATGCTGAGACAAGGAAACAGATAAAAAACGAAAGAAATGGAGGACAAAAAGCAACTGGGTATAGAGTTAAAAAACCACACTTAATAAGGTTTTTCAAGAATTTCCTAGAAAAGGTCGATAAGACCTATGAGGATATGAAAAGGGATCAACAAGAAATAATAAGGGATCAAAAAGAAATAAAGAATACATTGTCTGAAATAAAAAATATTATACAGAGTCCTAAAAACAGAATGGAAGATCGCAAGAATCAAGTCAAAGATTTGGAACATAAAGAGCCAGAAGACACTCCTCTGCAGAAGCAAGAAGGCAAGAGAATCCAGAAAATTGAAGATGATGTAAGAAACCTCTGGGACAACTTCAAATGATCCAACATCAGAATTATGGGGATCCCAGAAGATGAGAGAGAGCAAGATATCGCAAACATACTGAAAGGAATAGTGACAGAAAACTTCCCCCACCTGGTGAAAGAATTAGACTTATAAGTCTAGGAAGCGCACAGAACTCCAAACAAAAGGAATCCAAAGACCACACCAAGACAAATCATAATTAAAATTCCAAGAGCAAAAGACAAAGAGAGAATATTAAAAGCAGCAAGAGCAAAGCAGGTAGTTACCTATAGAGGCGCACCCATATGATTGTCAGCTGATTTCTCAACAGAAACCATGCAGGCCAGACAGGAATGGCAAGAAATACTCAAGGTGATGAATAGCGAGAACCTACAGCCAAAAATACTCTAACCAGCAAAGCTATCATTCAGAATCGAAAGCCAGATAAAGAGCTTCACAAATAAAAAAAAGCTAAAGGAGTTCATCACCACCAAACCAGAATTATATAAATTGCTGAAGGGAGTTCTTTCGGAAGAGAAAGTAAATAAAGATAAAAACTATGAACAACAAATATGTAACTATCAACAAGTGAATCTAAAAACATTGAAGACATTATGCTAATGAAAAGGCCGGAGACAAAAGGCTCCATATTACACGATCCATTCACATGACATGTCCAGATCAGCAGAGCCAGAGGCAGAGAGTGGACAGTGGCTGCCAGGAGCTGGCGAGAGAGGAGGCGGAGAAGGTTGGGGGTGAGGCTGAGGGGATGAGGTTTCGTTTGGAGCTTATAAAGATGTTCTGAGGTCGACTGTGGTAACAGTTGTACAAGTCTGTAAACGTACTGAAAACTATTAACTGTACATGTTAAATGGGTGTATTTCATGGTGTGTGAATGTGTGTGTGTGTGTGTGTGTGTGTATAATTTCATAGAGGTAGAAAGAGGGAGAGATAGAAACATCAATGATGACAGGGAATCATTGATTGGCTGCATCCTGTACATCCCCTTCTGGGGACTGAGCCTGCAACTGGACACGTGTCCTTGGCCGGAATTGAACCTGGGACCCTTCATTCCACAGGCCAACACTCCATCCACTGAGCCAAACCAGCTAGGGCTGAATGTATCTTAATAAGGCTGTTACTGAAAAACCCTCATGACCAGTGGGTGGCTTGGTTGGAGCATTGTCCTGCCCACCAATTCCCTCTATGTGCACCAAGGCTGCAGGTTCAATTCCAAGTTGGGAAGCATACAAGAGGTAATCTCTCTCTCTCTCTCACTCCCTCCCCTCCTTTCTCTCTCTAAAAAATTTTTTAAAAAAATCAATAAACAGCTCCTCAGGTGAGGATTAAAAATAATCCTCATCCCCATCAGCACACAGCAATCCCCTGGTCCTATGACTGTCACTGGGTGTCACGTGGCTCAACCTGGATGGGCATGCTGGGACACCAATGCTCTCTCTGCTGGTAGGCTTGGCGCAGAGAGGATATGAGACTTGATACCACAGAAACCAAAGCAGGACAGCTAAGAGCTGCTGGGCTCACTGCAAGGACACTTACAATGCAACTGGCACAAAGGAGTTTAGCTTCCCTTCTGCCGTAAGCTAGTTCTTAGCGCTGGTGGAAGACGAGGCCCTAACACCCAGAGCCTCTACATTATACTGAACAAAGGTCTTCCCAACACCCGTGTAAAAGGCTGCACATCCGCCCATTTTATGGATATTCCCATTTCCAACCACATCCCTGCACTTTTTGATGGTGATGAAATATTATGAATAAAGTTCACACACTCCCCTCCAATTCTGAATTATTTCCTTAGGACGTATGGGGTTAGTGTATACAGAATGAGATAGTAATAAATCTTACATAACGGCCCTCTGAGTCACGCCTCCCTTTATGAGCCCTGAGAGGTCCCTCCTGTCCTGAGGCTGGGCTGGCCATTAAACTCAGCAGATGCACATTCTTCTTTGTTGCTTTTTACAACTCCCTCCGCCATAACAACAGGCCTCGGGCCAGACTGGGACCACAGGCATAGTTTGCTGATTTCAGTTTCAAATCACCATCAAAGTTGAATATCTGGGCACCAATAGATGTGGTGGGGCCGCCTGGGGAGGCCGCCTGACCACTCTGGCTTGGGGAAGCCATGCTGTGCCTGCCTGGCACAGGATCATCCAAGTTCCAAGAAATCGGACAGTTGTGTTATAACCTCTGTAAGGTGCTGGCAAACTATGGCCCACAGGCTAAATCAGACCCACTGCTTGTTTTTGTAAATAAAGTTTTATTGGCACACACTACACCCACTCATTTGCATATCATGCATATGGTGGCTTTCAAGCTACAAAGGCAGAGCCGAATATTTGCAATAGAGACTGTCTGGCCACAAAGCCAAATACACTGACCATCTGGCCCCTCACAGAAAAAAGCTGCCAACCCCTGGATTAGAAGGCCAGATAGGCTTGGGTTTGAATCCTGACTATTGCTATGGCCTTGGACACAGCTTAAATTCTGGAAGCTTCCCACACCAGCTCATTTAGTTACTGAGGAGTTATAGCACTTCATCGAACCCAAGAGGCATCTCATCTTCACTTCGGACGTTTCTGAGCCTGGAACGCACCCTGGAGACTGCAGCTGGGGGTGGCAGGGTCTTTCTGCTTCTAAGCGGCTCATAAAAATAACTGGGCTTCTCATGGCATCTTCGATGCAATAAAACAATAAATGTGATACTGTAGGCAAAGAGCTTAACATGCACAGGGCAGCATGAGCCCTGGGAGAGCTTAGTGGCTTTTTGGTTCTTAGCTCCCATGTCTTATGCATCTTGGTGCTCACCCATCAGCCATCATCCTGCAGAACATCTCGTAGTAAAGACAGGCGCCCAACAAAAAGTCCCTTATTAAAGCTTTACGTTATTTGTTCCCAGAACCAGATAGCTCTCGCGAAAGTGGGATGAGTCTCCTGCCATGGCAGGAGAGACACAAACGCAGGCAGCCGCCATTCAACTTGTAGGCAGAGCTAAAAGGCAACAAGAGACACTGCTGAACGTGGTCTGTGGGCAGCATTCCTGACCCGGCTCCCGGGAAAGGTAGGCAAAGGGTTTGATTCCAGTAATGAAGCCTCTGCTGAGAGCAGCATTTGGGCCGGAATCTAAGGACAGGAAGGAGGCGGCAGGCTTGGCCCAGGCGCCCGGAGTCTTACCTCGTCTCCGGCCCGGCGGTAACTCACTTCGTACAGCACAATCAGACCGTTCGGCTGCTTCGGCTCCTGCCACGTCACGTGCACGCTGTTTTTCTCAATGATTTCATGGGTCACGGGGCCAACAATGTCATCTGCCTTGGCTGTAAGGGGCAGTGGTTAGAGGCAGGGACCTGACGCCCGGATCGAATCCCACCTCCACCACATAGCAGCTGTTGATTTCGAGCTGGTTACCTAACTTTCCTATGTTCCATCGCCCTCGCTGGAGAACGAACATGTAAAACTCCCCTCAAAGAGCTGTCCACATGTCCGTCTGTCTGTCTGTCATTGGTTCTGTTACTCAGAGAACCCAGACTAATTCTAGAAGCCTCAAGACCATATCTGTGTGTGTGTGTGTTGGTGTTTCTTAATTTTTTTTTCTTATGGCTTGTATTTTCTAATGTTGATATAATGGCTCTGCATGACTAGTGTAACTGAAAATAAGAAAGGCAACATGGATGGACCTTGCGGGCAGTAGGTAAGAAGTAGGTCGGACAGAAAGACAGCCCTGCATGACTGAAAAGGCAGAGCTCCCAGAAGCAGGGAGTGGACTGGTGGCTACCCGGGCCGGGGGAGGGGAAGGGGGAGATGCTGGTCAAAGGGTACAAACTTGCAGCTGTAAGAGGAGTAATTCCCAGGTGTCTGATGTGCAGCACGGTGACTACAGTCAAGCACACTGTACCGTGTGCTTGAAAGTTGCTGAGAGAAAACGTAAGTGTTCACCACACAAAAGACCTGGAAACCGTGTGACGTGAGGAGGTGTCAGCCGATGTCGTGGGGGTCCAGGCAGTGCAATCAGTGCACAGAGCGCGGGACCCGATCACCACCCTGCCTACTGTGCCACAGGAACTCACAGAGGTTACATGCCAGGCGTTTCTCAGTAACGCTGGGGAAAGCTAAACTACAATAAATAAAAAGCCGTACGGGCGGATCAGTCAGAGGCAGGGCCCCTCCTGGGTCGGCGTGTGCCCCCGGGCCCGCGAGGAGCCTCCCACCTTCGGGCATGGTCCTGGCGCTGATGTAGGCCGCCACGCTGCACCGCTCCTCGGGGGAGTCCTGGTTGCAGGCCTGCAGCTCGATGCGGTAGCCGGTGAAGTGGCGCAGGCCCGAGAGGACCAGCGTCTCCTTGTTCACCACCTTCTCGAAGGTCCGCTGCTCCTCCGCGCTGGTGGGCACGGCGGTGGAGGCGGCGTTGGGGAGACCCGGGGCGGTGGGCACAGCCATCGTCACGTTCCCCTTGTCAGCAAGGGCCCTTCGTCTTCTCGACGGCCTGCCACGACATCAGACACAGGGTCATGTGATCGCCACCTTTACATAAATGCTGCTGGGGACTAAGGTTTAAAATAAAAGCCTGGAGCAGGGGGATGTGAGGGAGCAGGTGGGTTAAAATGCAAATCGCCAGGAATTACAACACAGAGCCGCTCTCTCGATGCCCTTCGGAGCCTCAGAAGGATGGGGACAGGCCCATGGAAGGGGATGGGGAGCTGAGGGAGGGCGGGGAAAGGGAGAAAGGGGCAGGGCCATCGCTGTAGACGCACCACGATGTTGCCCTCAACCTGCTCGGTTTCAGGTTTTCACTTTGCAGAGGAACAGACCACCCAGGGTCAGTGTTAAAAATCAGAGGCCAGCCCTGACCGGTGTGGCTCAGTGGATAGAGCGTCGGCCTGTGGACTGAAGGGTCCCAGGTTCGATTCTGATCAAGGGCATGTAACTTGGTTGCGGGCATTTCCCCAGTAGAGGGGTGCAGGAAGCAGCTGATCGATGTTTCTCTCTCATCGATGTTTCTGGCTCTCTCTCCCTCTCCCTTCCTCTCTGTAAAAAAACCCAATTTTTTATATATATATATATATATATATATATATATATATATATATATATATATATATAAAAGACGCCAAAAGCCTGTAAGAACCAAGCTTTTAAGGAAGCCCTGCTGAATGGCATCTGCCCAATAGCCCAAGCTACTGGTCGACACCATTTGTTTAAAAAGGAGAAACAGGTCTTCTGATTTTTATTACTCTTGCTGACTTTGACATGCTTGGGACCTGCATAATTTGAGTGATTCAACTTCAAATATTGGTAAAAGAATCCTGTGCCATTCAGGCTGGTACAGATAACAAAACAAAACAAAACAAAAAGCAAAAAACAAAAAAACAAAAAGCCTATGCAACTGACACACTTTTCCTCCTTAAAAAGAAATTCAAATTATTCATCATTCCACTGCCTACTGCTTCCTGTGGGCAATGTTCTCTCCTAGAAATAGTATGTCTGTCTACGATGAGGCTCAAGTTAGTTTTATAATCCTCTTCACTTGTATTAGAAGCATTTATCAAATATCGATATTTTTCTTAAGCCTGGCAGGTGTGGCTCACCTAGGAACCAAGAGGTAACGGTTTGACTCCTGGTCCAGGGCACATGCCCGGGTTGTGGGCTGAATCCTCAGTTCGGGGCATGCAGGAGGCAGCCGATCCATGATTCTCTCTCATCATGGATGTTTCCATTTCTCTCTCTCTCTCCCTTCCTGTCTGAAATAAATAAATATATATATCTAAAAAATAAAATACTAAGTAGAGCCCTAGCCAGTTTGGCTCAGTGGATAGAGCATCGGCCTGCAGACTGAAGGGTCCCAGGTTCGATTCCGGTCAAGGACACATGATCAGGTTGTGAGCTTGATCCCCAGTAGGGGGCATGCAGGAGGCAGTCAATCAGTAATTCATTAGTGAATGGAGACCAGGGCGGTCCCTTTAACTGAGAACCATCTGGCCCCAAATGCCAACAGAACTGCGACCCAGAAAGCCTGGTGTGGCCCAAGGCCTCACAATTCTAGACCTTTCTTTCCTGTAAGATTATATTCCAAGTTGCCACTAGAGGGAAGCTTGGGGCCACGCAGATACCTGAACACACACACACACACCCTCTGCTTAAAGAATAAAATCACCAGGGTGAGTGAACGAAGTGGGTGAAGTGGATCCAAAGGAACAGACTGCCAGTTATAAAGTAAATACTGCCTGGGTGTAAAGGAACAAAATGGGGACCATCACTGAGAATGCTGTATTGCATACTTGGAAGTTAAAAGAGAGTAGATCTTAAAAGTTCTTATCAGCCCTAGCCGGTTCGGCTCAGTGGCTAGAGCGTAGGCCTGGGGCCCTTCGATGTCGGCCAAGGGCACTGCCTGGGTTGCAGGCTCCATCCCCATACAGGGCGTGCAGAAGGCAGCCGATCAATGACTCTCTCTCATCATTGATGTTTCTGACTCTTTCTCTCTTCCTCTCTGAAATCAATAAAATGCATTAAAAATAAAGTTCTCATCGTAAGAACTTTTGTGACTGTGAACTTTTCGTGGCTAAAGAAATGTATGACTACGTGAGATGTTCAATAGACTTATTGTGATTACCATTTTGCAATAGTTATAAATAGCAAATCATTACACTGTACACCTGAACTAACAGAACATTGTGTGTCAGTTATATCCAATAAAATAAAATTAAAAATCCCACCGCATGGCCCCACCCTGCCTTCTCCAGTCTGCCTCCTAAGAGCCCTTCATTGATCCCGCCAGCGTGCCTGCCCCTTGCGCTCTGTCTGCCCACCTCACCCCTGGGACAACGCCTCACTTAAAAGAACAAAGAAGTTCACTCAAAGGGGAGCGTGCCCTCCTGTCCTCAGGGACTTCAGTGACACAGCACACCTGGCTCGCACCTCTCACCTCACACCTGTCTCCCCTAATAAAAATGTTCTGTTTGCAGCCCTCACTATGTGGCTCAGTGGACAGAGCGTCAGCCCGTGGACGGAAGGTCCCGGGTTCGAGTTCCATTAAGGGCACGTACCTCGGTGGAAGGCTCGGTTCCCAGCCTTGGTTGGGGCTAACATGGAGGCAACCAGTCGATGTCTCTCTCACATCGATGCTTCTCTCTCAGTCTCTTCCCCTCCCCTCCACTCTCTCTAAAAATCAATGGGAGGCCGAAACCGGTTTGGCTCAGTGGATAGAGCGTCGGCCTGCGGACTGAAAGGTCCCGGGTTCGATTCCGGTCAAGGGCATGTACCTTGGTTGCGGGCACATACCCAGTGGGGGGTGTGCAGGAGGCAGCTGATCGATGTTTCTCTCTCATCGATGTTTCTAACTCTCTATCACTCTCTCTTCCTCTTAAAAAATCAATAAAATATATTAAAAAAAATAAAAATAAGTCAATGGGAACATATCCTTAAATGGGTGAGGATTAAAGAAGTAATAAAAAGGTTCTGTTCCCAGGCCAGTCCTCCCCGCCCCGTGCCGCACAGGTGTAGACTGGCCCCAGGCTCCGCCCCGCGCGCACAGAGGGTCAATGTTCGGGGAGCGGGTGCGGGGGAACACGTGGCGTCTGGGGGGTGCCCAGAGCGAGCCCCCTTGGTCCCAGGTTTTGGTAAGTGTGTGAGTAACGATTTCCCCGCATTCGGGGTGAAGGCGTTTGAGGTGTGAGCTGGTGAGGCGCCAGCCTTGGCAGCGTGGCCCTTGGCGGCATCGAGCCCCGGAGGCCCGGGTGGGGCGGCCCCCGCACGCTCAAAGCCGCCCCCTCCCCCACCCCTCCCGGCGGCCCCGCACGCTCCGTGCCGCCCCCCCCCCCGCGGCCCCGCACGCCCCGCGCCGCCCCGCCCCCCCCGGCCCCGCACGCTCCGCGCCCCCCCCCCCCCCGCGGCCCGCACGCTCCGCGCCGCCCTCCCCGCGGCCGGCGCCCCGATGCCCCCGGTGAGCCGTACCTGCTGTCCTCAGCACCGGGGCCCGGGGAGGTTTTCCTGTGGAAACAAAACCACACCGTGAGTACAGACGAACTTCCTGGGACAGGCCTCCTGCTCCAGCACCCTGGGAGCCACGTTCTCGGAGCGGCCCCAGCGCCTGCCCGTCCCATCACCTGAACCACATCCTCCCCGGAGACGTGAGACCCAGAACCAGGGGAAACAGAGAAAAGCCGGCCCCGCCGCCTCAGGCTCCCCGGGATGCCACTCCCCGGCCTGGCAGCGTCCTGTTCCCTGGGCGCCCGTGGTCTCTCTCCTCTGGCTCAGGGTCTCGGGAGGAAAATGCAGGAAAACAGAAAGGAGGTCCCGTGCTGATGGGTCTGAGGGCACATCTAGCTCCTGGACGAGGAGTGCCGGAGGGGCCCAAAGAGCCACATTTAGAAGCTTGTTTATCCGAGGTTCGCCTTTTGGGTGTCGACCCCGTGGCATCAGCTGTGGAGGCCGAGGACCTGACAGGAGGCAGACGGCGACAGGCCGCAGGGGGAGCTGCGGGTGTGTGTGTGTGTGTGTGTGTGTGTGTGTGCGCGCTCACCCCCGCCGCACAGGGCGGCCCCCCACAAAGAAGGATCTGGTTCCAATGTCCACAGTGCCAAGAGGGAGACTCCTGTATGACTTGGGGCGCCTCACGCCCTAAGAGATGGGAACTCCTATCTCCATTCTAAAGGGGAGTGAGCCGGGCACCGAGAGGCCTGTTTGCAGAGGACACCTCCCTCTTGGTAGATCGGATGTGCGTGAGCGAGTCCCTCCGGGAACTAACGGAAAACAACACATTTAAGTGGAAGTCCCCGGGTCCCACGACGCTGGGCAGGGTGCCAGAGAACTGGAAGAGAGAGAATGCTCCAGCTTGAGGCCTGGCTGGCGGGCATTTCTCAGGATTGGCACCAGTAACCTCACAAAGGCTGTCTCAGAGTCCGGTGGGCACCGGAGGCCGGGTTAAGGCCCTGGAGATGCCGGAGGCTTTTTAACCCTCCCACCCCCCCTTGGATGAATATCTGCTCTTCTTAGTAAGCTCCTGTTGACACAAGACCCCTCCCTCCTCCCCGGGAAGAGGCTCCGTATGGATCTGCGTTCTCGGGGTCCCCTTCCTCTTATCCCCTGGGCCGCACCCCTCGCCCGACCAGCCAAGCCGACCTGGGGACGAAGACCACGTTGTGCAGGTAGTCCTCGAACGTCTTCCGGAACGAGGACTCCTCCAGCTCCTTCAGGATCTGCGAGTCGGTCTTCGGGCAGGTGCAGCACTGGCCGGACGCCTCGTCCAACCCGCTCTGGTTGTGCTTCAGGGCATCTTCCAACTCCGACGGCGGGGACCAGGCCCGCGTGGGCAGCTTCAGCCCTGCAGAGGGCAGAGCAAGTGGACTCAGACACACACACACACACGCACACGCACATGCATGCACGCACGCACGCACACGCACACACATGCACGTGCACACACGCACACGCACATGCATGCACGCACGCACGCACACACACACGCACACACACGCACACACGCGCACGCACACACACACGCACACACGCACGCACACACGCGCACACGCGCACACGCACACGCACGCACGCACACACACGCACACACGCACACGCGCACGCGCACACGCACACACGCACACACACGCGCACACACACGCACGCACACGCACGCACACACGCACACGCACACACACGCACACACACGCACGCACACGCACGCGCACACACACACGCGCACCCACACACACACGCACACGCACGCGCACGCACACACACGCGCACCCACACACGCACACGCACACATGCACACGCACGCACGCACACACGCACACACGCACACGCATGCACACGCACACATGCACACACACGCACACACGCGCACGCGCACCAAAGGGGACCTGCTCAGAGGCGGGGCACACAGGACAGAGCTCAGGGCTGGGAGAGTCAGACCTTTCTGGGGGTGGGGGGGGGCAGCCAGTGCCGGCTGAGAGGATGCGTGTCCATGTGTTCCAGGCTCTGTCTGATACCAGTTCCTCACGGGGCCAGGTACTGCCCGATAGCCAGGCCTGTCTCTGCCCCTGAAACTTCCAGAGGCTTCCTCGAAGGGTAGAAACACACAATACACTAGTAAGTAAACCTGCCGAGCTCAGATGGCAGCCTCAAAAGAGAGGCGCCTGGGGTGGCCCCAGAGACAGGGTCTGCTGAGCAGTCCTGAATGAAGTACAGGAACGAGCCGTCCACAGACCCTGGTGCAAAGCAGCTCAGACGGAGCACAAGGCTTGTGCGAAGGCCCCACAGCAGGAATGTCGCTGGTGTGCCCAAGTACACAAGGACACAATGCAGTGCGAAGATGAGGGGCAGAGAATGGTGGGAGTTAGGGTTGGAAAAGAACAGGGGAGCCAAGTCGGCATTGAATGAATGAATCAGTCAAACAATCAATCAACTGCATAACCAGATAGACCAGAGGGCAGAGCAGAATTCTACAAGGAATTCTGAGGGGTGTGGCTTAGAGACCCGATGTTTACACTGAGCCATCCCATTGTACAGCACAAACAAGAGAAGCCACAGCTCACTCAGGAATCAGGAGTGGGCTGGCAGTGGCTCCCACCAGCGGGTGATGCTGTGTAACTGGGCACTGGGCAAGGTCAGGAGCATTTCCGGTTGTCAGGGCTGGTGGTGGTGGTGGTGGTGGTGGTGGGGAGGTGGGCGAGGGGGAGGACTCCTGGCATCTAGAGGGCAGAGGGCAGGGACATCCTAGAGAATTAACCAGTGTTGACTGAAAGTCAACACTGCTGAGGTAGAGAAGCCTGGACTGAAAAATGAGGGTTAGGGTTAGATTGGAAAGAAAACTTTAAGGTGAGCTTGGCAAAGGGAATGAGAAAACAAAGCCATCTCTCGTCAGAGCAGTCTTAATAATACAGAGCTGCTTTCTGTGTCTGGACCCCCGAGGTCCATCGCACAGCCGCCCTCTGGCACAACCTTGAGAATGCTCACTTCTCTTACGGGGCCAAACTCAGGACGGCCCTCCGAGTCCCCTCTCCTGCCACCAGCCTCCCCGCTGTCACAGTGAAGGAAGCTCCGTCCTCTCCCGCTTCCAGGAGTCCGCAGACACCTTCCTGCGAACGGCGAGTGTCCACTCGGAAGCCCAGCGCTCACCAGCTTTAAAACCTCAGGGGACTCTTAAAAAACGCTCCTTACTACGTTTATTACGACATGGAACAGCCTGGCTGGGAACGGTTAGCGGCTAGTCACGGGGCTACGGGCTGAAAAGGACTGGATTTCCTTGGTGATGGGGGTGGGGTGGGTTCCTGACAATTTCTGGAGGGAAGGGACTTTTTTTTTTTTAATCAGATGCAGGCCCACACCTGTTCCAGGTGGCGCCCATGGTTTCCTGTGACTGTGAAGCACAGTGACACACCGAGGACCGTCAGTGCATAGAGACGGAGAGGGAGGGTGGGAGCCAGGGCTGGGCAGGGCCTGAGGAGTCCGCGTTAAACGGAGACAGGGTCAGTTTGGGAAGGTGATGGCTGCCCAACAGCGTGAACGCAGTTACCGCCACTGAACTGACACTTACGTGGCTAAGAGAGTACATTTTACGTTATGTGATTTTTGCCACAATAAAAAGCCACATGGTTGGTAAGACTGTACTGTATAATTTAAATATGCTAGGAGAGTTAACGTAGCTTCTAAAGGTTCTCACCGAAAGGAAAAAAAAAAATATCACTGGGTGAGGTGATGGATGTTAACTAAGCAGATGGGAGGAGTCTTTTCACAATGTATATATATAGTTATCAAATCAGCACAATGTACACTTTAAGATCGTAATTTAACTGTCAATTATACCTCAAAAAGCTAAAAAAAAAAAACCCACTATTGATACTAATAGGAAGCCACTACTGGTTATGGTTAGTACAGCCTATATAATAAAAGTGTAATATGCAAACTGACTGAACCATGGAATGACCAGTCGACAGGGTGAGGCTGGTGGGGGGCGGGGCCAGTGAGCAGGCAGCACCAGGCCAGCCAAAGTGCGTGCCAGTGGGCAGAGGGAGGGGACGGGGATCGTGGGGCAGTGGTGATCAGTGGTGGAGGGGAGATGGGGCAATGGGGGGGCGACCAATGGCGGAGGGGCGATGGCAAGCAGCTGGCACCACCCCCTGATCGGCCCACCCAGTCACCTCCCGCAGAGGGAGGCCAGGAGCGGGCCTAAGCTGTTGGTCAGACATCCCCTGAGGGCTCCTGGACTGAGTGACCCTCAACCCCAAGGGCATGAATTTTCGTGCACTGGGCCTCTAGTTATTTATATTGTGTGAGTAAGTTTATATATTTGTGCTTGCATTGGGCTTTTTAAATTATGGTAAAATACACACACACAAAAATCTTAATTGTTTTTAAGAGTAGAGGTCGGGGGCATTAAGTACATTCACATTATCACGTAATCATCACCAGCTTCCATCTCCAGAACTTTCTCACCTTCCCCAATGGAAACTTTCCATTAAACACGAGGCCCTCCTCCCCTGCAGCTCCCCGGCCCCTGGCTCCTGCACCTCCTCTGTCTCGATGGGTCCGACTCCTCAAGGGACCTCCTCGGAGTGCAATTGGACACTCCCTGTCCTTAGAAAGTTCCTTTTAATTATATAAACTTTGGGATCATTAGAAATCACAGTCACATTGTAATGATATATTTAGACTTCCAGAATAAAAAGTAAAATAAATTAAGTAATAAAGTTGTTGTTCTTTAAAAAAAGAAAAAGAAAAAGGAGAGCCTTGACTGCCCTGCTGCCGGTTCGGCTGCTCGAACGCAGGGCCAACAGCTCGCAGCTGAGCCCCCGCTGCTTGCTCTCGAGTTATAATATATAAAGCAGCCGGGAGATAAACAACGTTTGCAACCCTTGGCTCCGGCGGGAGTGAGGTCACAGGCATACATATAGCCCGTGACCCTGCCGCTGGGACAGCTCCCTGAGATCACCTGGCCTCTTGCCACTTCTCCGGAGAGAAGGCAGCTGGTGGCAAGCTCAGGTCGGAGGTCCGGCAAAGAGCCTACCACGAGCCTGGCCTCAGCCACGCCTCGCCAGCAGCCCAAGGTCAAAGGCTGAGGAGATCACCATCCCCCCAAAACCGAAAGAAAAACAAACGCAAACACAACCCAATTAAAGAAAACCATGACCTGGTTCTCCGGGTTGATAGGGCCTTTTAAAACCCGTTTTAAAAATAACCTTAGACTAATTGATACAAACTGGTTTGAGGCACGCTCAGCTGCTTGTAGACCAGCAGGGTAGCTCCTGTGGGGAACAGCTGCTTTCCCATTGGGCCGGGGTGTGGGGAGGATGAGGAAGAGGGCAGGGAGGAAGATGAGGTGGGGCAGGGAGGGGAGGAGGAGAGAATTCCACAGGGAAATGGTGCCAAGACATGGGAAATATCTGGTTTCCACAGGAAACTTCAGAGTGTGCGCTCATGTTGTGATGTTTAGAAATGAGTATGTGTGTTTCTGTATGAGGACAGAGAGTGTGTGCAAGTCTGCTCTTGTGCACACACTGGGAAATGGAAGAGGAGAGAGACTTCCCTAGACGTGGAAGGGATCAGACGTGTGTGAAGCCCGTGCCGTACTCACCTTTGAGGCAATAATCCAGCTCATACAGCTCCCTGTCTTCCGCCTGCCTCTCCCAGAAGACCAGGTAGTGTGTGATGTTGCCGTTGGGGTCAGAGGGCGGCTTCCACTTTAAGATGATCTGGGACGAAGAGTTAGACACGGAGATGGGATCCAAGGGGACGGAAGGATCTGGAAAGGCGAAAGGAAACAGGTCCACGGTGAGGAGGGTGCGCGCTGTCGGCTGGGGGTGAGGGGACCCACAGGCTAGATGGCCAGTGAAGGTGTTGGCTGCAGAGCCATTTAACGTCAGAGAAAGCTGGAGCCACGTGGCAGGCTCACCCAGGACAGGAGGTACATAACCACAGTCTGTCGCTACCACCGATCATGCCCATCATGTGAGCCTTCGTCCATCCATTCACACAGCGAACACGGGCTTCAGACAACGTCATCACATCAGAGGCGAGACGCGGACCCCCCCACATTCCTGCCACCTCAGGTACTCACTGGTGGCGTTTGTCTGGATGTAGATGATGTCGCTCTTGGCCCCGTACGTGCGACGTTCTTCGGAAAAGGTGACCAGGGTCTTCACAAAGATGGCGTACTGAGTCCAGGGCTTGAGACCCCGCATCAGCCACCCAGGATGGCTCTGCGTCTTCGGGTCATTGGACCTCACAGGCGGGTCGATGTCCACCACCGTCCAGCTGTTGGATCCACACGCATCCTGCCCATCAAACTCCGTCACATTCCGATAAGGGCTTTCAAGGTGAAAGAGAAGATGGTTACCATTTTCAGTGATCACTCTGAGGACCACAGAGATGCAGCCAGGGGAAACTACACCCTAAAGGGTAGCATCCTCTTCACCAACAACCTTATGCACAAGGAGAAATGACTGAAAACCAAGTCACTGATTACACACAGAAACAGCCTAAGAGAAAGGAGCCACAGCCCCTGATTTCTCAATAGTAATAATATTTAATATTTTATTTATTTAATATTGATATTATATGATTACACGATGTACTATATTTAACTATTACATAGTACTAGTAGCTCTGCGCACGAATCCGTGCACCCATGGCTGCCCAGAGCTCTCCATGGCCCAGAGGCCCATCCGAGGCCGGGTGCAGAATGCTTGCCTTGTTGCCGGGGTGACAACACAAGCGTTCTGTGCCCCAGCCTACCAGAGGCCCATCCACAGCTGGGCACGGAATGCTTGCCTCGTCACTGCTCACGCTGCCTGCTCTCACCGGCTGCACCTCTCAGGACTGGGGGACTCTGGCGGGGCTGAGAGGACTGGACGCCACCATCTTGTGCCTATGGGTGCTGCCATCTTTGTGATGGAGTGATAGTTAATTTACATATTACCCTTTTATTACATAGTATGTGTCATTTTACATATGCAATTATAATATTAAATAATGTTTGATAATATTTAATAGTAATTAATAGTTTCCTAATAACAAATGTGATGATACTATCAGCAGTTACTTCATAAGATTATATAAGAGAATGTATGCAGCTTCTCAGCTAACAAGATTATGCCACATAATCTTGAGAAATGAAGCTAGTATTGATATTAACACTAGCACCACTTCCACTATCTTCTTCTAAAATTTCAGCACAGTTGCATCTTCAAAATTAATTATTGTTTACTGCAGATAGAATTTCAGTTTGAGAAGATAGAAAATTCTTGAGATGGTTGTATAACACGACAAATGTACACAATGCCACTGAGCTAGATGCTTCAAATTAATTTATTATGTTATGTACTTTTCCCAATTTCCCCCCATCCCTCCTTCAATCTATATATATAAAAGCCTAATATGCAAATTGTCCCCTTGGCAGTTTGACTGGGAGACCAGGAGTTTGATAGCTTGCTATGACATGTGCTGACCACCAGGTGGCAGCACAAAATGAAGGAGGGCCCAAGGTGGCAGCAGGAAGGCCCTGATCAGCCCTGATAGGCGACCAGATCTAGGGACCCTATCCATGCATGATTTTGTGCACCAGGCCTCTAGTAGCTTTAATAAAGATCAAATGCTTACAAATTCAATAACACCATGTAAAGACTGTCCTTCATTACCCACCCCCCAATCTGTTCTCCTACCATGCCTCACTTTCAATCCATTGCTCTCTTTATTCTCCTTCTGGTACCCTTATGATATGGATGTTGGTAGGCTTCATACTATCCCAAAGGTATCTTAAATTATTTGCACTTTTTAAAATTCTTCTTTCCTTTTGCCACTCTGGGTGTTTTTTGCTACAGGGTAGCTGAAAACCAAGTCACTTGATCCCCTACTTCAACCTAATGTTTATTCCTTCTAGTGTATTCTTCATTTTGGGTACTGTATTCTTCATTTCTGACCAGATCTTTTTAATGGTTTCTATATTCCTTTGCTCTTATAATTCTAAGTTCCTTGAGTATCCTTATAACCATTCTTTGGAACTCTGTATGTCATGAATTGCTTGCCTCCACTTCATTTAGATCTTTTTCTGAAGATTTCTCATGTTCTTTCATTTGGGACTTGTTTCTTTGTCTTCCCATTTTAGCTGCCTCTTTCTATTGTTTCCATGTAGTAGGTAGATCTGCTATGACTCTCTGTCTTGGTAGGGTGGATGTATGCAGTATATGTCCTGCAGGACTGCAATGTGCAGTCTCCTTGATTACCTGATCTGGGTGTTGCAAGAATGACTTTTGTGAGGGTTATGTGGGCCCTTCTCTTATAATGAGTCTTGATTGCTACTGGCCGATCATAGGTGGGGTCAGTCCTCAGGCTGGCTGACTGTGAGGATCAATCCGAACCACAGTGAATAAGCTTTGTGTAGGTGCTGACTACACAGAGCTAAATTCTCCTCTGCAAGGTCTGGTGCCTGCCAAGATCTTCCTTTGGATAAGCAACTTGTGAAGCTTACTGGGTCTTGCTCTGATGTTGTCTAAAGCTGGCTGTGGGTGTGTTGGTTCTGGGGCCTCTTAGGAGGAACTCTGGCACAGTCCAATGTCAGATGCTGCCTTTGACCATCCCTGGCCAACCTGTTTGAAGCTTCAAAGTGATCTGCAGTTGTGGCCGCCTCTGCTAGACCTGGCTGTGCACAGGTAGGAACAAGCTGTGCATGATGGCTGGCTTTTACAAGTTCCAGGCCCAAGAAAAGGTCCATAAAGGTCCCAACGCACCCTGAGATCCACCTCTGCCTGTCAGGCTCAACCACTGAAAGAGCCTCTGGCAGTACTCCAGTTGGACAAGGCAGGTTCAATCACCAGGTAGGGGTGACTGATGTTTGCCAGAGAGCTCCAGGTCCAAACTCGGTGCCAATGTTGGGTCTGAGGCCACTCAGCATATGTCCAGGGTATAGAAAGTCTACCTGCCACCCACTGGGTGCTCACACACATTTTTCATGGGCGTGGTCAAGGGAGTCATCAGAGTAAGGCCAGAGGAGTCTATCAGGTCCAAAAAGAGCAAGATTTGGCCCTGTGAAGGGAGGGCTTTGTACCAGTTGAGCATGTAAAGAAAAATGGTCTCACTACTAAAGCGACACAACTCAGTCTGTCCCAGAATCTGTCCGACCACAGCAGAAGGACAGGTCTAGTGGACCTCCCATGAGGAGGAGCTGTCAGTCTGGCTTGGGGGAAGGTGGCCCTCACTGCAAGGCCACACAACTCAATCTGTCCTGGACTCTGTGCACCAGGAGTCAGGAGGGTGGGGCTAGTGGGTCTCCCCTGCAGGGGGGGTGCCTCCAGTCAGGTTCACCAGAAAGTGGGTGGAACGGCCTCCACTCCAAAGCCGCACAACACAGTCACTGAAAGCCACTGAGTCTGCCTGGACTTCTACACCCAAGCCCAGGCAGCTGACTCCTCAGCAGGACCCATGCTACATAGGGTTGGACAACTGGGCGTCCAGAGGGTGGTCTTACTGCATTCCCCCCGGCTAATACCGTGGAAGGGAATGTTCTCCCCAAGAAAGATGGCATCTGTGGTGTAGGAGATGGACTCAGCGCAGGAATCCCGGCAGCTGTCCCTTCATCTCTCTCTCTCTCTCTCCAGAGCTACAACCCTCATTCTTTCCCTGGGAGATTCTAATCGGCTCCACGCTTCCACTGGAGCACAGGGGGAGTGGCTGAGAACAAGACTTTGTGCATTGGGCTTTTAAGAGGGTGCCTGTCTCTCCCCGGCAGGCAGACTTACTGCTGACTTTCACAGCCACGTGTTATACGGGCACCTCTTCCCGGTCTAATGCCCTGGCCCGGAGGGCCCAGAGTGGGGTTGGGACCCCATGCTTTTCAGGAGGGACATTAGCAGCTGAGATTCCCTCCAAAATTTCAGCCACTGCCCCTGGGAGCAGGACCAGCCTTTGTGTCTCTGCTCTTCCTATCAGTCTTATGTGGCTTCTTCTAAAAATCCTTGGTTACAAGGCTTTTCTTCATCCAGTCTTCAGTTGATTACTGAAGTTGATTGCTCTATATTTTAGTTGTAATTCTAGTTTTTAGTTCTGGGAGGAGGTAAATGTAACATCCACTTATTCCACTGCCGTCTTAGATTTCCCTCCTACAACTTTTTAAATGATGGAGAAATACAAAATAGTTCTAAAATAAAGTTTAAAAAACTATTGAGTACACTGAGTGACCTTTCGCTGAAGAAATCTGGTGAGATATACATATCGAGGGCAAAATAAAATAATTGCTATAAGAGATTGGCCCATCTGGACCCCAAATGAAACCTATCTGCTTCAATTTCTAGCTTTTCCCCAAGTTTATCCCACAAAGGGGAGGAAGACAGAGCAGCCTCCGAGGGGAACAATGAGCACACATGCAATATCCACAACTTTTTACTTTATACTTACGCCTCTTTGTAGAAGAGCATGAACCCCAGGAGGTCTCGGAAGTCAGGGGGCCAGTACGGCTCCCATTTCAGTAAGATCTTGTCAAACGATGTCCGAATGTAAGAAAATTTAAGTAATTCATTTTCACCTAGAAAAGTGGTTTGTTTGTTTTTTTAAAACAAAACAAAACAAAACAAAACAAATACCAACAAACAGTATCAGTATTTCATCATTTATTTCAGCACAAAGCAGTGATCCTACACTCCCAGGAATGTCCATGAAAAGGAGATGCCAACCTGCTGTTCCAGGGAGCCTCCAGTGTGTGAGGGCAGGAACTGGTCATGGCAGCTGGTCCAAACTGCCAGCCAGTTACCTGGCCACAGGCTCCACTAAAAAGCAGCAGTTGGCACCAATGTGAGGAGGAAAACGGGACCATAGGTAAGAGTCCTGACAGTTCTGACTGCACGTGGATTTTTAAGCCTGACATGTCACAAAATTAACTCTAGTGCCAGTGAGCACGAGCCAAGTGAGTTTAGATCATTATACCTTGGACAGACAATTTCTTGAGTCTCCAGTATCTTGGAGAGAATAATTTCCTTTGCTTGGAATGCAAGTCTTCCCATAAGCTTCACCCACCCTCACTCTTCCTCCTCAGAATTCCCACAATGTGGACCACGTTCTGCTGCAAAGAATCAACTCCGCATGACAATATGATGGAAGCCCTGGCAGCTCAATGCTCAGATACTCCTTCAAGAGGGAACCTCTCCCAGGAGTGCAGTCAGCCGACCGTCTCCAGCTGCAGCAACGGCAGGGCCTGTAGTAACATCTGATCTAAGGCCATATATGAGGAGATATCATTCATTCATTCATTCATTCATTCAATGCTTATGTAACTTCCTCCAGTATCAGGCACTGTATCTGATACAGACACCACCTGTCCTCAGTATTTCAGAAAGCCTCTCACACATGAGTTGTGTAAGCTCCCAGGGGAGGCGGAGCTATCCCTGGGGGCCAGTGTGGGAGGGAAAGGGAAGGGAAACAACACTACTTGGTCCACAGGCTGAAGTACCGGGCCATCACCACTCACAGGATGCCTGGTCCCCGTTAGTCTTCAAGGCAATGTCGGTCCTCTCCTGGCGTCCCTTGGTTCCTGAAATTTCTTCCATCTTGTGAATTTCCGACAAGCACAGTTTGGGATTGTAGTGGAAGAAGAGTTTCCCCTGAGTTATGGTGAGGTTGTGTTTGCTCCAGTCCCATAGCTGCCTTAGGTTCTGGTTGTCCAGGGCATAGAAAGAGTAGTTCCTATGGAAACACACACACCTAGTCATTCACTGGCTTGTACTCGGGGCCATGGCCGGCGTTGATCTTGCCAGCAGCACATACCCAGCCCTAACCATTTGCTTGGCATGTCCTTAGCAAGTACACAATGGGGGGTGGGAGTGCCAAGGGAATTCATGGCCAGGAAGGTATCTGAACTCCATCTTGTGGGGAGGGGATTGAGATACGGGTCTCACAGAGGGGAGAGACTGAACAGACAAAGGCACCTGAGCTGGGCCCAGGGAAGAGCAAAGTAGCCTGCGGTGATAGGAAACAAGACTGGAGAGCTGCAGTGGTCAAGCCCTCTAGTATTTTGGATACCAAACCAAGACTAAGACCATGTGACCTACTGGGTTGGCAGAGGGGAACCACTGAAGGTTTTATAACTACGCAGTAACGTGATTAGACCTGTGCCCGTGGGCCACCTGCACATAATAAACAGGAGAACGAAAGCATTCTAGGTCTGCGTTGTACAATACAGAAGACACTCTGGCTACTGAGCGCCTGAAATGTGGCCATTCTGAACTGTACTGGACGTAAAACACAGATCTTGAAGACTTAGCATGCAAAATAGAAGAGTATGAAAGACTCCCTTATAATATTTTATATTGGTTGCAAGTTGAAATGGCATTTTAGATGTAATTGGCTAAGTAAAATACGTTGCTAAATTCATTTCACCTATTTCTTTTTAAAATGTGGCTACTAGAACACTTTAAGTCACATGTGACTTCATTATATTTCCGTTGGACAGCACTGGTCTAGTTCTAGGATGCCCAGCTGAGGATCATTGGAATAATCAAAATCAAGTCTGAACTTCAACAAAAAGCAGTTGTATGGCAGAAAAATCAACAGGAGCTGCCGAGTGATTCGAGAACGTAGTCTAACCAATTCTATGGATTGGTTTCTTGAAGCCATCTACCCCCCGCCTCCCTCTTCCTTTCCCTTCCTCTACCATACAGACCGGAAAAGGTAAATATCCCCTTTCTCACTCCCTTGCAGCTAGAAGGAGCCACATAACCCGATTCTGGCCAAGGAGATAGAAACAGAATTCAATGTTGGGGATGAGAATGTGGGAGCTTCCAGACAATATTTTGAAAGAGACATTCTCAATTGTCATCTATCTTTGTCCCTTTCCCTTTTCCCTGTCAGTTCTACAGATGTAAGGCAGCCATTCTGTGACCATGGTCACATAAAGAGGGAAAAAGCCAGAGTCCTATCCTTGATGACATTGGCGGATGACCTTCTTTTGACTTCTTGTTCATAAGTCCATCTCAATCCGCATGAAATGGAGCTGGTCTGGACTTCTATTATTTTACTCACTGAAATGGGGTCAGCACAAACTCAAGGGTAGGAGTCCAAGAAATAAGGAAGAGAATCCAGGAGGCCAGCAGAATGTCTTGGGGAGGTAGAATCCTACTGGCCAGAGGAGGTAAGATTTCATTAAGGAACAGGTGAAATCAGTATGAATGGGACCAGGATGTGAAAAGGCGTTGGAGGCAGCGATTAAAGGGTCCTGGTCACAGCGAAGCCCGGATGGCCAGACGCCATTTCATTGCAGCCAGCGCCCTGGGAGGGCATAACGTGTGGCCGAACCCCGTGACTTCCAGGAATGGCTGTAGAATGGGCACCACTTTCCCTGCCTGGGCCTTCAGACATGTTCCAACACACATGGCTCTCTCTCAAAGTTCTCCAGGCACTTTCTCCTAGTAGGTGCTTTCTTGGCTTTAAAAAATCCCCAAGTTATAGTAGAATGACTGTGGTTAGCAACACTGTACTGAATATTTGAAAGCTGCCAAGAGAACAGATCTTAAAGGTTCTCAGCACAAAGAAAAACACTTCTTTGTAGCTATGTATGGGAATGGATGTGAAACACACTTACTGTGGTGATCATTTCGGAATACACACAACTACTGAATCATTATGGTGTATACCTGAAACTAATGTATACGTCATTAAGTGTTTCTATTCTTCCCCCAGCTTTACTGAGATATAACTGACATCGAACATCAGTTTTAGGTGCACAATATAATAATGTGACATTTATTGCAAGTGATTATCACACTAAGTTTGGTTAACATCCATCCCCTCACATAGTTAAGAAATACTTTTTTTCTTGTGATGAGAACTTTTGATATTCACTCTCTCAGCATCTTTCAAACATATGACACTGTACTGTTCACTGCAATCATCATGCTGTACATTCATACCCAGGAATGGAAGTTTGTATCGTTTGACCATCTTCATCTATTTTGCCCATCCTCTCCCCCACAGCCCCACCCCTGTCTCTGGCACCCACCAGTCTTGGGTTGATGTTGTTTTTGTTTTTTAAAGATTCTACATGTAAGTGAGATGATACAGTATCTCTCTCTTTCTGTCTGCCTTACTCCGCTCAGCATAATGCTCTCTAGGACCCTCCCTGTTGTCACAAGCGGTGGCAGATCATTCTTTTTTATGAATAATACAACTGAGCAATACTCCCGGTGTATATAAATGCACATACCACGTTTTCTTTATCTATTCATCTGCAGATAGAAACCCAGGCTGCTTCCATGTCTTGGCAAAAACCCCCTAACTTTCTATAATTCACACACTTTCTAGTTAGCGCTCAGGCCACAGACGAAGAATCCGGCCCACATACCCGACCTCCAAGGTGTTCCCCTGAATCAGGCGTAACTTCCGGAAGAAGGAAAGCGACACCAGTGCATAGGAGCGGCGGATTTTCAGAAACCCCGAGATTTCTTCGATGAGGCCGAGGTTGGCCTCCAGCTCAGCGGCCAGGTTGTCTAAGGAAAAGAGAAAATACCCAGTGAGTTTTACAGAAATCTCTTAATCTTCCTATAATTTCCCACAGTAAGGAGTGAAATTACAAGCTGAAGATGACTTTGACATATCCTGCTCAAAATGAGTCGCACTTAATTAAAATACAATCCAAAGTCCTTATTACGGGGTCAACAAATCCCTAAGTAAGTGACTACTGCTTTTTGTCTCTTCTCCTACCTCGCTCCCTGACACGGGGCCTCTGCACCGGCCCCTCAGCAGACTGTCCGCGCACACGCTGCCCCAGGGCCTCCTGGTGCCTCTTTGCCCAGAATGTCACTCTCCCATCTTTTAGCGTGGTTCGCCCTATTACCAACTCAAAGCATGGCTCCTCTGACCAGAAACTCTTCTAAATTAGTAACCTCTTATTCCGCTTCAGAGGTTTGCAAACTCCAGTCCGCTGGCCAAACCCAGTCTGCTTTGTAAATAAAGTTTTATTGGCACACAGCCACACCCATTTGTTCACATGTTCTCTAAAGGGCAGAGTTGGGGAATTGTAACAGACACCCCCCGGCCTGCCAAGCGGAATAAATTCATTCCACGGTGTTTATAAGAGAAGGGGACCCATCCCACTACCCCCGCGGCCACACGGTGCTTCCCTTCACAGAGGGGCCGCTGCCTGAGTTTCCATCATAAGCTCATCTGCTTATTTGCAAGGTCCATCACGCACAGACCTGGCCTTGTTCATTGAATATTCCGCAAATGTTTGCTGAATATATAAGCAAAGGAATGCCTTTTTGCCTGGGACAGTATTTCTGGAAACACAGTCCTCACACCGGCAATAGGGAATGTTGCCGTTTGTTAAAAATGCAAATTCCCGATGCCCCAGCTATGAATGCGGAGAATGAGAACCTCAGTGGGGAGAGAGGGAGCAGAGGAGCTATGAATCACCCGTCTGGGAGGGGGGGAGGGCACTCCACTGACTTGGGAAACACCCAGAGTCTTACAATCGCCAAGGAAGCAGGAAGCAAAGACGAGCCCAGTGGTTGGCAAACTGCGGCTCTCTGGCCACATGCAGCTCTTTGGCCCCTTGCATGTGGCTCTTCCACAAAATACCACGGCCTGGGCGAGTCTATTTTGAAGTTTAAGTTTAAAAAATGTGTCTCTCCCGGGAGGAGTGGACTGTGGCCCACGGATGTCCCACTGCTGCAGGACGGGTCTGGGGGAGGGGCCGGCCTGCCCTCCCGCTGTCCTCAGGTGACTGCCCCCGCCCCCCCCCCCCCCCCCCGCACACGCCTCCTCCCGGCGAGCCGGCCTGCAGGTGTCTGCAGTGTGGATACTGCGTCATGTCTGCGTGTAGATGCTGTGTCAGGTCACAGGGCGTCGGATAGTGAACGGAGCTGCTTCTGTGTAAATGCTATTTCAAACACTAAAAAGCATTTAATAAAAAACAAAGTGTCTCTCATAAGAAATTTCAGTCGTGCTGTTGATGTTTGGCTCTGTTGACGGATGAGTTTGCCGACCATTTCCCTCTCCGCTCCCAGGGGCGCGGACCCCAGAGGGACCCCGACACTCACTGCCCCCACGGATGTTGATGATGAGGCTCCCGTTGATGACGGTGCATCCTCGAAGCTCCTGGGCAGATGTCACCGAGTCGATGGTCTTCTCACCTTCCAGGATTTGACAGACCTTGGGACACGGGCCCAGACACGGAACGCACATCAAGCTGAGTGAAAAGCAAGGAAAGAGGGGTCAGGGTACACAGGACCCCCCTCACTGGGCAGACCATACTGCCCAGGGCCCCAAGTGATGCTCATGGCACGGCTAACGTCTGAGGCCCGAGAGCGCTCCGCTGGGAGGGCTGTCCTGAGCATCGAGGGTGCTGGCAGCACCCCTCAGCTTCACCCACTGATCCCCAACAGCTCTCCCAGACGAGGACTGGGAGCCAAACACGGCTCCGTCACTGTCCCTGCAGGAAGAGCCGAAGGGCCCAGGCAGGAGCAGTCCCTGCAGCGGGTCCCAGCGCTGCCCCCCAGGGCAGGGCTCCCGCTGCATCCAGGCCGAGAGGGCGCACTGAACGCCTCGGAGACAGGCTCTCCTTCTACCCCCTGGAGGCTGGACTCACGTTCACCCCGAATGGATGGGACTCCCGGGGTCTCCCGACCTCCCCCTGCCAGCACCCTGAACGGCAAAGCTGTGGCGTGGTGCGTGCAGTGGGTGCCGCGCGTTACGCTGACCGCTGAGCGCCCTCGTCGGGGGCGTCCATCTGGAATACACAGCGCCAGCCTCGGTACGGCGAGGCCTCTGCTCCTCCCGCCGGGAAGGCCCTTCTCGCAGAAAGCCGGCCTCCCGGACACCCGACGGCTGGGGTGACCCTGCCTCCCCCTTCCTGGACCCCAATTCCTGGTCTCATGCTTCGAATTCGACAGTAAAGAACCAGGAAACAGCAGAGGCTTCCCCCTCAGACTTATTCCAGGCAGAGCCCCAGGTCCCACCCCCTCGCTCCTTCTGCCACCCCGGGACCTAGCGCGTTAGCAGCCTGTTCCTCAGAGTTCCCTCGTGGCTTCATGGTGAAGTGTGTCCTGTGATCGCAGTAAGAACCACGAGAGCCAGGCAAGCCATCCGAGGGGCCTGTGGGGGAACGTCCATGGAGCTCCCTCCGAGGAATGGGGTGCAGGGCGCCCTCCATCAGGAGGCTCGGGACCCCAAAGTGTTACAGCTCTGTTTTAGTTCTGTGGGCTGTTACCGCCAATGACGGAACCTAAAGGGTTTGTGGGAACCCCCAGGTTTATAGCCGATCGACCGATCGATCGGAAGTGTGGGTGGCCTAAGGACCCCAAGGAGTGCTGGTGTCAGAGCGAGGGCAGGCCGGTGAGAACAGTCCTCACCCCGTGGTTCGGTGCTGACGCCAGGGCTCGGGCCCTGGGCACCAGCACGCTGCGGCACACGCGGGACTGTGACCAGACGTTGGGTTCTTTTGTTGGTCCCACACTACTCCCTGAGCACGTGACAGGGGACACTCCACGCTGGGCCCCACCCCCTACACCCACGCCCACGGCACCTGCTTTAAAGACGCTCTGCACACCCACACCGTGTTTACGGACCCTCTGCGGCTGTCCTCACTCCGCAGGGCAGAGGAGCTGCAGCAGGGCCATATGGCCTTCTGACTGAAAATATTTACACTCCGGCCCGCCGAGGCGGCTCCGGCACAGGCACACAGGGAGCAAAACAGCTCTCCTGGGACACTGTCAGCGGCCACGCGTTCTGCTCGCCTCCCCAGTGGGTCTGTGTCCTCCGGTGAACCGGGCGTGGCCACGTGGATTGCCCCGGCCGATGGGACATTAGCACGTCGAGGCTTGAAAAGCACTGGCCATCGGAGCACGCCCTTCCTGGCTCCAGGACGGGAAGCGGCACGGAGAGGCCCTGGCTGCCCATCTACGACAGGAGCGGCTGGCGCTCCTAGGCCATCGGTCAGGTGGCCCTGCCCACGTCAGACAGAGCTTCCGTCAACCACAGCATCCTCAGTGAGGTGAGCCCAGTGCTGGGCTGCTCGCCAGGCGGCAGGAGCTTACTGGCACCTGGGGAGGCCGTCGGTGGATTGAGGAAAATGAATAAACGGACAATGACAGTATCAGCCTGTGGTAGAAGCCATGAAAAGAGTGAAAACTGAGTGATGTGCCGAAAAGCAGCTGGGCATCGAGTCCAGGCAAAGTGGGCAGAAGGGGAAGGACGCTCCGAGGAGGTGACTGACAGGCTGTGACCGGGACAAGAAGCAGGCGCCGCGCCGGGCAAAGATCCAGGGCAGAGCGTTCGATGGGGAGGGAACACGGACACACGACCTTCACCCCAAACCCCGAGGCCTCCCCGTCTCGGGGAGCACACGCTGCTCTCGGCAGGCGTCTCCGAGTGACCACATGGCTCTGCCTGTGCCCCAGACCTCTGCTCTGAAACACCAAGAACCATTTCTGGATAAGCTGCCAGAATGGAAGCAAGCATAGCTGGCCCTATTTGATATCAAACCACATTAGAAAAATGTGGTAGGACTAACGCATTTCATAAGAACATCTTTTATTTTTAAAAGCTTCAGAAGAAAAAAACACTATTTTTTTCCAAAACTTCGAAGCAGATTGTGCCATAGCGAGTTGTCATCAGCACCGCCCGCTTTGCCCTCTCAGCGTGGGCTCCAGGGGCCACCACGCCACCAGGAGAACATTCAGGAACATGCTGGGCTCCTCAGACAGAATGCCTTCTACTTAAAGCCAATGTCTTTTCAATAATCATCTTCCTAGAAGATTAATTTAAAAAACAAACAAAAAGGAATCAAAAGGAATATGGTCATTTCCCCAGCCTTACTAATGAACTGGCCCAAAAAAGAAAAAGAAAAAGAAAAGAGTCTTTCCTGCATGCAAAGTTACTTATAGCTGCCTATTTTTGGTCAACAAAGCAACATAACAAGTTTTTGTAAAACAAACAAACAAACAAACAAACACAAAACAAAACTAATAAAAGAAGACAGGTACTTGCAGGTTTCACAAACGTCTGAAGAGAGCCTCCTGAGAACAGAAATAAGGCTGTTTTTTCGGGAAATAAAACTTCCCGCCAGAACACTCTGGCTAATTCTCGGCTCTGGAGAGGGAGCTTTTCCAGGTGAGCAGGTCAGCTCACTGCCCCTCGGTGACGCCTGCTTCTGATCTGTTTTGTTTGTTTGTTTGTTTTGTGGAGGGTTTTTTCAAACCCGCAACACAAAATCCAGCAACCAGGTTTCTTAAGCTTGGTTACAGCCCCAAGAAACCAAAACAGCTCCTCTGAGAAGCTAACAAGATGAACAAGAGTCTGCAGTGTGTGTGCACAGGACCCGACTCACAACCGAGAGAAAGCAGCTTCCGAGCACGAGGGAGCCTGTGAATAATGGGGCATCAAGCCTCCTCCTTCTCATCTCTGGGCTGAGCTCAGCGCACTGCCCAGCTCCCGGCCAGAAAAAACACAAAAACCCGAGGTCCAACTGGGCGTACGAGCCAGAAGCCCAGCAGAGGGGACGGTCCCGCAGTGTGAGGGATTCTACGGGAGCCAAGGGCCGCTGTCCGCGTGCTTTCCGCTCCCGAAGCTAAGCACAGCGGCTTCAGCAACCGCGTCCAGGAGGCCCGAGCAGACTCTGGCCCTCAGAGACCGCTTGTCGCCTCGGCTGCAAAGGCCAGGGCCAAAATAGGAGGCGGCGTGGGTCCGAGGCCCCAGCGCACCTCTGGTCCCCACGGCGCCTTCCCCGCAGCCATGGATTCTGGGTTTTAACACAGGCTTTTGTTCTGTTTATTAAACATTTTTAATGTTGACATTATTCCAAGAGTCCCCGTTTTCCACCCCCTTTGTCAACCTTCACCCACTTCCTTCTCCCCTTCCCCTCCCTTGGCCTTCCCCACACTATTGTCTGTGTCCAGGGGGTGTGCACATGTGTTCTCTAACCCCTTCTCCTTCCTCATCCGTCACCCGCAGGCACCAGCCAGTCTGTTCCATGTATCCATGCTTCAGTTCCATTTTTTGTTAGTTAGTTTGTTTGTTTATTTATTTATTTATTTATAAAATATATATTTTTATTTTTTTACAGAGAGGAAGGGGGAGGGGTGAGAAACATCGATCAGCTGCCTCTTGCACACCCCCTACTGGGGACGTGCCCGCAGCCAAGATACTTGCCCTTGATCGGGATCAAACCTGGGACCCTTCAGTCCTCAGGCCGACGCTCTGGCCACTGAGCCAAACCGGGTAGGGCCTGTTAGTTTGTTCTGTTCATTAGATTTTAACAGGTGGCCCCCCCTCCCCGCCGAGAACCCGCGCCCGGGACTCACTTGCTGGAGTTCATGGTGAAGCCGGAGGGACACTCGGGGATGCACTTGCCGTGGTGAATGACGTATTGGTGGCAGCCCTGCCGCCGCGAGTTCCTGCACTTGTTGTGCAGGCCCAGGCAGAAGCTGAAGGTCACGCAGCGCCAGTCCTGGAAGTGGTAGTAGGGGGGCGGGCAGGCCTCCACGCACCGGCCGTCCAGGTAGAAGTGGCGGCAGGCGGCGCACCGGGTGGGGTCGCCGGGCTCCGAGCAGCCGCCCAGGCACTCTCCGTGGCAGCAGAGGCCCTCCGCAGTGCAGCCGTGCGACTTGCAGCTGGCCGGGCAGACTGGGGAGAGAGAGACAGCGTCAGTGCAGGCCCGGTTCCGCCGGCACCAACAGCGGTGCCGGATCAGGGAGAGCAAGCGAAGCCGAACAGCAGCAGCCTCACCTCTATAGCACACGCTGGGCCCCAGGCACAAAACGTTAACAAAAGCACAAACTCATGTAAGCCCCCAGATCACCGTGTGCCCTACACGTTTAACAGCCACTTCAGAGAGGGGGGAGGTGAGAGAGGATCTGCCCTGTAGCATCTGCCCATTTCCCCGGTGTAAATACCACCAGCCTAAAGTTACTGCGCACGGAGCTGTGAGAGACCCATGGTACCACAGCACAAACAGTGCTTCCACCACAACAACCTCCAAAGCACAGCCGCCCTCCCTTATCTATGGGGGATTCATTCCAAGACCGCCAGCGGATGCCTAAGTCTTGAATAGTACCCAACTCTAGACACAGGATATTTCTTCCTGAACACACACACCTAGGATAAAGTTTAACTTACAAAGTGGGCACAATAAGAGACTAACAACAATCTATATACAGTGGTGCCTCACACAACAAACTTAATTCGTTCCAGGAGCAAGTTCGTTATGCGAAAAGTTCGTTATGTGAAACGCGTTTTCCCATAACAATACATGTTAAAAAAAATAATTCGTTCTGTAGCATAAAATATGCTAAGATGACATAAAAGTCGTGGAAGCTCGGGCGACTTCGTTGTGTGAAACGAAGTTCGTTGTATGAATCATGAAATGAAGTTCGTTGTGTGCAGCGTTTGCTGTGCGAGGCGTTCTTTATGCGAGGCACCACTGTATATAAAAGGCTAAAATGCAAAGTGTCTCCTTGGGAGTTCGACCGGAGACCGGGAGTCATGATGTGTGCTGACCAGCAGGGGGCAGCGCAGAATGAAGGAAGGCCCGATCAGCCCTGCTCACTGTCCAGACCTAGGGGCCCTACCCATGCACGAATTTCATGCACCAGGCCTCTAGCAACTAATAAAATAGAGTAATTATAACAATAGGCTGTAATCAAAGCTATGTGAATGTGGCATTATAAAGTAAACTAAGGTCACTTGCGCACAAGCACAGCGATACCACGACAGTCAATCTGATCATCGAGCCGCTACTAAATGACCAAGGGGCACGGAGCATATAAAAGGTGGAGATGCTGGCGTCACATCTCGGGAGGGTCTGAGTGGGACGACAAGAGATTTCCTACTACCCAGAACAGCGCACAATTTAAAACTTATGAACTGCTTCTTCTGGAATTTTCCATAATATTTTCAGACCACAGGTCACTGAAAATATGGAAAGGGAAACCGTGGATAAGAAGGGACTACTTATAGAAGACTGTAGTGAGATCATCAGGATGCAGTGGATTCTGAGTATCTGTTACCTTTGATTTTAACCTAATTTGTTTAATTGTAAGTTTACATTATTTAAATTGTAATTAATAGCTTAACAACCAGTTCCCAAATTTCCTGAAAATTAAACAGCTGGCTCCAGCAAACCAGACCTAGCACACAACTGCAGAACTGGTATACACAGATATATGGTTGTCTCCATTTTGCGAAGAGGGAAACTGAGGCACGAGAAGATTAAGCAAACTGCACAACAGTCATACACTGCTTCACAGACGTGGGCGTACGTTAATCCTGACACCGCAGCCACTGCAGGCCACAGCCCTGCCTTCGGGAGCACACTGCCTCATGGAGAAGGCATCCCAGTTACTCAGCCACACCAGCAGTCATCGGATAGGCGCCCGCACTGTGCCAGAGGTGACGAGAGGTAACATTCCGGCTGCAGCCTGAAGGAGGGGACGGATGGCAGGAGAGAGAAGGCCCTGGGGACGGGGCAGACGCTGTGCATGGATTTCGTGGCCGGAGACATGTTCTGGTTCAATGCAACTGAGAGTGTGCACAGCAGGCTGGGCGGGCCGGGCTCCCTCCAGCAGCTCGTCCGTTACACACCCCTTTCCTCCCAGTGTCTCTCTCACTGCTTCCCAATTACCCCTGGACTGCAGCCCCCGGCACCTGGCCTGGACCCTGATGGCCAGCCCTCCCTTCCCAGACTGTCACGGCCTAAGTGCCTCCTTGTGGCCGGACAGACCTGGGCAGCAGAGCCTGTGCACAGAGGCGCTGGCCCCACTCACTCCCTGCACGTCTCAAGACGGGGCGTGGACATCCGAGTGCTCTTCGCTCCGCACCCGCCGGCTTGTTATTGCTGCAGCACGGCCTGGGGGCCCGGAGCCAGGGAGTGGAGGTGCCCTCTGAACCCCCTCTACACACGAGTGGCACCGTCTGATGGAGCATCCCCTGACGACAGAAAGGGTCTCAATCTGTGTGCTGTCTGCTGACACGGCAGCCACCTCTCCCCGCGGCCGCCGCCCGTGGCTGGTGCCACGAGGAACCGCGTTTCGGGGGCTCCCCCCTTTCAGCACCGTCACTAACGCACCATGACCACGGGGGGACAGCTATCTCCTCGAGATCACTTCAATGCTTTTACGTTCATACCCCAAGCCAGAATCGCTGGACCCCCGGTGATTCGGTTTCTAAATTCCTGAGGAACCACCGCGCTGTTTTCCTCAGCGGCTGTATCGTTTTACATTCCTGCCGAGGCCACACAGTTTCCAGTTTCTACTGAGAAAGCACACTTTTAATTGTGTTTCCATTTTAATTTTTATGACCATCGGCTCTTGCATGGACAGCAGAGGCTCAGAGAATAAAAATAAACTCCTTGGCAAGGCCATGCAGGCTCACGTGGCCTCCGTGCCTGCCGGCTGAGTCTCCCAGCCCCAGCGGCGGCCACCCGGGCTCCGTCCAACCGCAGGCCCTTTGCCTGTGCTGGCTGAGCACCCTACTCGTTATCCCCCCATCACTGCTCCTTCTCACCTGTCAGGCCTCACCACCTTAGAGAGACCTCCCCTGACCTCCCCCGCCTTCCTTCTCAAACCACATCCCGCATGTTTCTGTGATGTTTTTCTCAGAGCGCTCACCACTCCTGACATGATCTGGGTGCCTGCTGAGGGACTGGAGAGGCTCAGGGTCAGGGTGCACTGTGCTGCCCTCGCACCGGGCAGGAGCGCAGCAGACACATTCTCAGTTATGACGGAGGAGGCAGAGGAAGGACGTGGGGCAGCTCCCAGTCCCGTTTCTAGCTGAGGGCTCGAGAACTCCCATTGCAGGAGCTCCACAAACACCCCGAGAACCACATGCAAACTGCGGAACACCTGTGCGCATGTGCGTGCTCCGATTTCCTCCGTGGACCCGGGAGGAAGTGGGAAGCTGTAATGGGAGCAGGATGGGGGTTAACCCACCAATGTCTGTGTGTGCTTTTAGGGTTCACATACGACCCCCCAGAGGCTCTTTACTTAATTCTAACAGAGACCCCAGCAGGGAGGGGATGAATGATATTGTGTCCATTTCAGATACAGCAGGGCCCAAACTGGAGCCTCACTCTGTTGGCTCTGCCTCTGACATTCCCGCGTCAAAAAAATGGCAAAGTCAACCCCAGGGTCCATGCAGCCCTGAGGGAGGCGTGATGAGCATTAGCGGCAGTGACGGAGCACCTGCTGCCTCGGGGCCACCATGAAGCCGAGGGGCTGTTGCAGACGAAGCCAAGGCTGCTGTGGGTTCTTTAAAGACGCCTGGTGGGGCTAGGAACACGGGGAGAGAAAGTCAGCCCTGCCTTAAAGGGGACTCTTTTCCATTTTGCATCACTCGTGGTTTCTTAATTCATTCTGCGAGGCCACCCTGGTATTTCTATTAAATAAGATTAAGTACTTGGACACAGAGTGGGAGACACACACAGCTTATCATTTTTAATGTCTAACTTCCTTCAAAAGTTAAAAACAGAATTCAGGCAAAAACACACAACACCCCAAAATGGGGAAGAATACCTGTCATTTTTTGTTAATCCTCACCCCAGGATAAATTTCTATTGGTTTTGAAATAGAGTAGAAGAGACGAAAAGACAGAGAGAAACAATGTGACAGAAACACATCCGTTGGTTGCCTCCAGCACGAGCCCCCACCAGGGCCGAGGAGGAGCCTGCAACCAAGATACATGCCCTTGACCGAAATCAAACCCGGACCTTCTGGTCTGCTGGCCAAAGCTCTATCCATTGAGCCAAACTAGCTAGGGCACACCTGTCACTTTTTTAACCTTTTAGTGAGGGGTCAGCAAGATGGCAAAGCCAAAGCTTTGCAATTACTGACAGGGGATTGCCAAGTTAGATGCAGGCTACTTGATGTCACACGAACAATTAAAGCCCCGTATGACAAACCCACAGCCAACATCATACTCAATGGCAAAAACTAAGTGTTTCCCTTAAGAACAGAAACAAGACAGGGTTGTCGACTTCCACCACTTGTATTCAACATAGCGCTGGAAGCCCTGGCCACAGCGATCAGACAAGAAGAAGAAATAAAAGGCATCCAAATCGGAAGTGAGGAAGGAAAACTGTCACTATTCACAGATGACATGTTAGAGTACACAGGAAACACTGGAGACTCCACCAAAAACTACTAAATAAACACATTCAGCAGTGTAGCGGGATACAAAACCAGCATCCAGAAACTGATGGCATTTTTACACACCCTTAATGAACTCTCAGAAAGAGAAACTAAAAAATAAAATATCCCATTTACCATTACAAAAACACACACAAAAGAAGACACCTTGGAATAAACTTAGTCAAGAAGGTAAAAGACGTGGACGTGAAAAACTATAGGGCATTAGAAAAAGAAACAGAAGAAGACACAAATTAAGTGGAAGCATATATCGTGGTCATAGATTGGAAGAATTAACATCACTGAAATACCCAGACTACCCAAAACAATCTTTGGATTCCATGAAATTCCTGTTAAAATACAACAGCATATTTCGCTTGCCTAGAACAAATATTCCAAAAATGTGTACGGAACTAAAAAGAACCTCAAATAGCCACAATAATCTTAAGAAAGAACAAAGTTGGAGGGATCACAATACCAGGTATCAAGCTATGCTACAAAGCT